GCACTCGGGACTTCTGAGTTGTCGACTTATGTAAATTATATGGGTTTAACGTGCTGCTGCCTAGATTTCCTTTAACTGCCTGGCTGGTTGTCTCTGGCTACCGGGAAATTATAGCTTGCTTGGTTGGCTAATGCCCATGCTAATAGTCTTAGCTGGGTGAGGAGGCGGGGGTCCATTATCGAGTTCATATTCATCGTACAAGTAGACAACAATTACAAAACAGTGCTGAAATCTTCTTGTCTGCTTGTTTATTAGTACTATAGAGTACTTTTATTACTTGGTGTCTTATTCATACGTCATCATAAATAGTTTGTTTTTCTGTAGCTGTCCCTTGGCTGCCTCGTCCCGGGTCCCCTCTGTCCCTCAAAAGTCTCAACCCATCCTGTGGTCCGTGTTTATGCAGATGCCTTTTTAGATGGTCCGAAGTCCAATACGGCCTTTTTTTAAAAAAAAAAAAATTTCAATGTTCAAACATCGAATGAGCAATAACCTTTTAACCTTTTTAACCTCAAGCACCATCAAATCATGATCGCTCCTGTGTCTGTCTGTAATGATATCAATCTCTTCACATATGCCTCTTTACGCTGTAGGAAACTCCTTTGGTGGTTCGCCCCTACTGCGCTACTTCTTGATGAGATAACAAGATCAATACGCAATCCCTTTTTGACTCTTTCGACCGCATAAACGTGCCTCTTTTTGACTTTTTTGATCTCAATCTATTATTGCAATGGATGGAGTTGGCAAGCTCACTACTTCACTAGCGGGTTGTAATATTTTTACTTAAGGCGCATGAACAAATTGTGCAACCTATCCCATAAAATTGGCGGGGTTACCAAATCTTCTTTCTGACTAATTGACATATTGAAAGCAATGAACTTGGCTCATCTCTCCTGAATTTTCTTTCCATTTCCTGTAATGCACGTCTGAATACATAACACGTGCCTTCATTTCTACTTTGATTTATTTTTTAATTAAAAGTTTGGACGGTTTAGCCATCACCAAAGTAGGGCATACTCTTGAAACTAGAGATCACTTGTAAGGACAGTCTATTCTCACTAACGCGACCCTTACATTAATAGCAAGTTTCTTTTTTGATGCTAATAAAGAAGCCAATAGTCATGGTAATTACCAGATGCCAATAATTAGAGTGATTCATGATGATTCAGTTGCTCATGCAAACTTGCAATGAGATCAACTATAACTAACTCCGGCATCGCATGGTCAGTTGAGAGACCCCTAGTAGTTAGGCCTCGTTATATTTTTGACTACCACCAAACCAAATACCAAACTTCATATTGATGAAAAGCTAGCATCCAAGTTAGTAGGTTGTTTACTTCTTTCTGGGGCCGACAGAAGTCGGGGAGATTATCAAAGAAGTACAGTTCTATCATTTACGAGAAGAATCTTAGGTGGCGGATGCCCGAGGGTGTTATAGTATTCCGAGGCCACTGAATTGTTTTTTCTACAATAGCAGACGGAAAAAACAAAAGAAAATAAATGAAAAGTCATATAATAAGGAAATTTTCCCTTTTCTACAGCAACAAGAAGAACCCAGTAATTTTGGTTCTAAATTCCTAAGCATTATTACCCCCTACGTGACTTTTTTCAGCAAATTAGCTCTTGTTTTATACAAACCAATCCAAAGATTAAGAACCCACAATATGCTTACCCAGATGGCTGTTACAATCACAACGATCCAAGAAATCCAAGCCCACTTGGGCATCGAACCATCGGCTGCTCCGCTTACAAAAGCTGCCCCCATCTTGAGCGTATAAAGAGGTCCAAGAATCCCTCTGACGACTGAATAGAAAGTGAAAAAGTAGGGTGACAGGAACTCATAATATCTCGCAGCCTCCGGTGAATCCACTCTTCTGAATCTGGCTAAGCTCCAAGTATTCTGACACGGGCTTGTGATTTCAGCCAGAACAAGAAGACCAAGAATTGAAACTGCACCGTGATGAACAATATATCTACAAGTTGCGAAAACATAGAGGGTAGCCAAGTGATGAGCTATGAACAGAACATCTTTTGGGATGAAAATCACGTAGTGTAAAAGGTCAATTATGAAATAACCCATGCTGAATTCAAGAACCAAATCGTGAAAAGATGTATTCTGAGCTGGAAAATCAAGTGGGAACAAATTCTTCTGTGATTTGATCAACGAGGAGATGGCCAAGATTACAGCAGGTAAGCCGTGGAACAAAGAGATAAAACAACTTGAAGCTTCATATCTGGCTGAACCCCACTTCTTCAATAGTACGAAATATCCAAAGCAATAGATAGCAGAGAACATCAAAGTGAATGAAACAAGAGGGGAGTTAAAGGGGAAAAGGGATTCAATCTCCATAGCCATAGCTGATAGATAGTCCTAGTGGAAGAGAAAGGATAGGCTGATGATGATGATGATGATGACCAGACAAAAATAATGTGTATGATGGATGTACCTTGCGTTTAAGCTAAGAAAAAGTATTCCGTCTGGTTTTTACAGTTTCTTGTTTCTGACAAAAAACCAGTGTCAAATCAATTGCTAACGTGATTTTTTTTTTTTATGGTCGAACACAAATAGACCACGTGTCCAACTGGGTGCTTATACACCCATTGAAATTTTTTTAAAAAAAATGAATTTTTAGAATGCAATCAAAGATTTTGATTCCTTCATTTACATCCAAATAGAGCCCCAAAACTCTTTTGATTGCCAACGTAAATCTCAGACGTTATACCTTGTGCTGACAGAATATTCTCGTCCCAAATGAAAGCAAGCAATCGCAGACACCTATGAATCAGGGGAAATATCAATAAGGCTTTACGTTCCACGATTTGTAGAGGATTTGCTCTGTGATTTAGACCAAATTGTAATTATCCTGGTCCTGGTGGCCAATGGCTTCCGTATATCCGTATGCATGCCATTCTCATACGTTATGTTATTGGCACGAAATGACGTTGCTTCCACCGTGGACATGAATATCTATTTTAAAAAACTTGTTACGATAGTCAAAAAGTTTTCTTAATCGGAACTAGTAGAAGAAAATGTACGCCGGATTAGTCGGGCCACCTTCGAGTCTTGACCCGGACACCCCTGTGTTGAAAAAAAAAAAAAAATTAGTAGAAGAAAATGTATCCCTTTTTTTTTTTTTTTTTTTTTAACTATCCTAAGAAAACCACGTTAGCAAGAAACCCAGAAACACCATCCCTCCACGATCCCCGCCCTCTTTTTTCCTCCCTAGAAAAAAATAATAAAAGGTTGTTTCAACTTTGCATTTATGTTAATGGAGTACTCTCGAGCTAAACATGATTTTACCAGAAGCATTATGTTTATTGCTTGTGGATTACCCAAAAGAATACAAAAGGGCTTAGTTTCCATTTTTTTCCGTAAAAGAGATGTTTTGAATCTAAAACTCCTAATTTAGGCCTTGCTTGGATTGAAGGTTTTCGTCGGAAAATATTATCGTTTTCCGTGATCACATTTCCCTATCACCTTTTTCCCTCACATATATCAAATCGCTACAGTAATTTTTCCATGAAAAATGACGGAAAATGCAATCCAAACAATTTCTCATCTTATTGCTTAATTCAACTTTCCTTCGAGAATGTATTTTTCTGCTGATTATGATTTGTGACGAAAGTCAAATAAGCATTTAGGTATTTAAATCTCTATAAACTTCGCATAAATTATAGATTAAAACACATTAAGTATGTTTAGATAGTAAGATTTTCTTAGATATTATTTTGCTTATATCACAAATACATTTTTCAATCAATTTTTTATTTTTAACAGCTTTTTTATCTTACATACATCATGTCACAAAAAGTATTATAATAATTAATTAAAATAATATTTCAAATAATCTCATATATTATTTTTTTATTAGAATAGTGAAACGTCACTGAATTCTCATTAAAAAGTCTACTTCCACTATTCTTAGTGCTGCTGTCCAACCATTTTATTTCTCCTTGTGCTTTTCTAGGAACCCTTTAAGATGAAAAGTCACTCCAAGGGCCTTTATTGGTGTATTTTAATATAAACTTAATCTACCCATTGTTGGTGACCAAAGTTCATGGCTACCCATTGTTGGTGACCAAAGTTCATGGCTACTAGGTTGGGATTCGAACCTCACTCACGATAAAAAAAATAATCTAAAAGAGGTGTTGGTCACCGGTAAATTGGGGGTTCGAACCTTAACTATAGTGAAAAATTCTAAAAGAGGTGTCAAAGCACCTCTTTGTTACCAAAAAAAAAAACTATTGTTGGTGACTTGCAACTTACAAGCAGTAGGTGCCCACACGGGATCCTGAGTGCCACTTTTCCAGTTGCAATTCAGTACCACTTCTATATTTATGCCAAGTGTCATATTTATTTAATTTATCATATGTTGTTTATTTAAATTTCTTCTACCATCATGTAATTAGTGGGATTTGCACTGAATTTGGCACCGAGTAGTGACACGGAGGATCCCAACTCTTAGGTGCCACAGTACTAATTTACAAGCCATCCCTTGCTTCTCCTAATTGCTCAAACTATAAAATGCACAAATGCGCCCTGTTCGATGATGACCTTTTGACCCACAAAAAATGAGTCTTTTCAGAATGCATTATTTGGAAAAGAAATTTTGTTTCTTTATCCTTTTTTTTCCCCCTTAAACACCTTCTCGGACCACCTTTTATTTAAATACATTACATCACACAAAATAGTTAATAACCTTTAAAAAGTGCAGCATTTTGTATGTGGAGACAGATTCCAGTCGATCCACTTCCCTTGAATGCCGATTTGCCCAATTTTCTCCAACATTTTATTGTCCCCGGAGCAAGTGCGCTTTATAAAATAACAACTATCACATTCATGCACTAGGGATTACGCTGAAGTGCTAGAATTAGTAGGATGAACTGAATTTTACAGGCTGCCAAGGCTTTTTTCTTTTTTTCTTTTTTTTTTTTAAAAAAAACAACCCATCAACGTTCTTATTTCATACTTCCCTGATTTTAAAATCCTAACATACTGCCAAAGATATAACGAGTACAAGTTTTTTTTTACTCCGAAAATACAGCACCAAGCTTAAGCTACAAATTCCAGGAGCTAGTAAAGGGACTTGTCCCCATATGACAAACTGAACCCGTGAATCAACAATACATCCGAAACGCCAAGCTACGTTATTCTACAACTAACTCGGGCAAAAACTCCATACGATGACGTAACCAGTTTGGTCCAAGGATTAAGTTATGGCATGCGATATTCATCTCTGAAACAGGTTTACAGATGGCCAGTAACCAAGACAGCAGGAGGGAGTCATAAAAGGCATCTTACATTACCATGCCCCCATCAATGGTGAAAACCTGCAGAATGAGAACATATGAGTCGAGGGAAGATACGCTTAACAGTCAAGGAGTAAAAAGGGGTCTCAGCAAGACAACTAATATGTATAAGTGCTGTAGCTCAGGTAAATGTACAGTTGACATAAATGACAAACAGGAAAACAAGACTGCAGCATTTTTGGATAAAAATGGCAGTAAATGTAGGATGTAAAGCCTCCACGAGACAAACACAACATGCATTATCAGAAACAAATATCAAATGAGATCACAATCGAGGTTTACCTGTCCTGTGATATAACTGGCTGCAGGACTCAAGGCCAAGAATTCCACCAACCCAGCAACTTCCTCTGGTTGGCCATATCTCCCTGAGATCACCCAGTTATCAGATATGACTTCACCAAATAATTGAAATTATTTTACCACATATTGATGAATAGGCAATGTCATCAACAACCTTAGAACTAAAAGAGATATATTTAACTGATAAACATCATACGTGATCATCAACATCAATTCAATTAGTTGAGTAAGTTACTGCTCAACAGAAAAGGATTTTGACATAGCATTGATGAATGAGCAAAAGACTTTGAAATGCTTCCTTTGGATCATTTGCACGATTTCTTCCAACATCTGTTGAAGTTTTTCTATTTTCAGTCACCCGTCAACAGTCTATCCCCTGCCTCCATGAAAGGAAGGAAAAGTAGTCTTTCCTGTGTTTGTGGCCACATGCATGCTTGTGCCAGTAAGAAGTACTGGAAAATACTGAGAATATAAGATGCCCTAACAAGAAGATGATTTCCTGTGTTTGTGGATGATTATTTACTGTAGAAGAAAGACAAATGCACCTAAAGTATAGACAGACAATAACATGCGGATTATGGAAGAAAAAAAGTCATATGTCCAAGTAGAACTTCAAAAGGATGAAAAGCAGCAGATGTAACAAAAATTGTTTTTAGCATCTAATGAGGCGAGAAGAGAGAGAGAGAGAGATCAGCACAAAATCAATAAATTACCTAATGGGATAGTCTCCAAAATTTTTTTCTCAATGTCTCCTCCAAGCTTGGCAGTCATATCAGATGCAATGAAACCAGGAGCAACAGCATTCACCTGTGAGCGAATAACTTATCATCAGGAACTTAGCATTTCCCAGTCATTATTGATTCAGGTTGCAACAGCAGAACTCACATTGATATTTCTGCTTGCATATTCCTTTGCAACAGATTTTGTCAGGCCAATTACCCCAGCTTTTGCAGCACTGTAATTGGCCTGTCCAATATTACCAACAAGACCAACAACTGATGCTATGTTAATTATCCTTCCCTGCAACCAGCAGCCAGGTGGCATCAATGCAAAGGAATCTGTAACTATTGGATGATTAATTGACAAAAAAATAGCATACTAGAATTACAAAACTGGAACACTCAACAAGTTAGTGGAAGGTTGTCACAAAGCTAATCCTCCTCAACTCCCTCCCGACCCCTTTGTAGTCTTCCATTGTCACAGTGCAGATATATCTCAAACTAAGCAGATCTAGATTTTCCTTATCTCATGCCAATAAAGAGAATGCGACAGGAAAACCAGAGGGGAATGGAAGTGTAAGAAAAGGGTCAGCATGAGGATGAAGAGTAGAGAAAGAGGAACCAGCTGAACTTCCTACATAGACATTCATGCTACAAACAAAAAAGAATACTAAAATGATTGGAAACTTTCAGCTGAGAATACCTTTTTCTTCTTCATCATTAGCTTAGCTGCAGCCTGCAGAAGGAAAGAGTGTTAGATCAACAGATAAGTTCTACCATCCACTGTGCATAAGGCAAGAGCTTTTCAGAAGCAGACCTGTGTACAAAGGAATACTCCTGTGAGATTTAGATCAATAACCTCCTGCCACTGAGCAGTCTTCATTCTCATCAATAAACCATCACGTGTAATACCTGAAATTGTAGCATGCCTTTTAGTACTGTATAAATTGTCTTTTCGATGTGCTCTAGAGTAGTTCAAGATTTTATCAACCTGCATTGTTTATCAAGATATCTACTGTTCCCCATGCATCAACTGCCTGCACTTTCAGCAGTCACCTACAATTAGCTAAAAACCTTTTGCAAGCAAGAAAACCAGCTAAAATGACTTAATTGTAGAATTACCGTCTTGATCATAGATTCTACATCTGCTTCCTTCGAAACATCCCCACCAAAAGTCAGTGCCTGACCCCCACATGTCTCAATCTGGAAAAAAAAGAGGTATGACAGAAAATTATCAATGCTAAATATTAACACCACTATAAAAGTGAACAATGTCAACTAATATGAACCAGTGATGTTGTGGTGGCAATAATTATCCTATACCACAACTCACCAAAATCAAATTTTGTCTAGCAAATAAGTACATTTCAAGAGCATATACACAAGGAAATTGCAGTATATCCTCATCAGTAAAACTACATTTCACGTGCATGTTAATCAGTGTCCAGGTTACTGATCTTCACATTTGCACCATCAATTTCATTCAGAAGGGAAAAGGGCAACCAGAGCATGCGGTTGTAAGCATGTGATATATTTTTACTGTTAAGAAGTGCTGACTCCATTTCAAGTTGAATGTGTTTAGTCCTAGTTTAACCGGCCCCCAGAGTATAAGTAAACCTTCATAAAGCGCTACATTTAAGAATTCAAAACTCCAGAGTTTAGCCCAAAAATGGTAGACCAACCAGATTCACATGCGAGAGAAATAGAAAACATAGGAAGTATAATTTTTTCCAATCCTCCCGAAACTTTGTCTGATAAATCCAGGACATTCTGTAAGAAAAAGAGAAGGCAGCTTTCCCCAGTAAAGTATGGTATGTAGAAAGAAACAACTAACAGTATACTGAAGGAAGCGGAAGTAATGGAAAGTGGAAACTACATCCACCAGCAATCCATAAAATACATATTTATTCTCTGTAAGATATATTACTTTCAAAAAATTATGTAGAGAGCATAAGAACCTCTTTGCAAACATCCTCTGCCTCCTTTGATGACCTTGCATAATTAACCAGAACCTGTAGTAAATGGCGACAGAAAAGTTTTTTACTGAAGGCAAAATACAGTACAGTGTATGCTGTGTGTGAGGCATATCTTTCATACAAAATAATAAGTCTCCAAGATCGCTTAGGAGCAAGATTAGTTCAAAATTGACCAACTAAATCCACATTTATCTGTATAAACAGGAGACCATTTATAAGAGCTACATTGTCTTTTCTTTCTCACATTGCATCTTTTTGCTGAAAACATCAAAAGAATACTAGAGTCGTTATTGCTGAAAATGACCTCCCACTTGGAAAAACTACTCCCACAAAATGAGCTTTCTTTAGCTTTAGATACTTCTCAGTGTAAACAAGTGTTAATTCACATGTATATAGTTATCTGGTATTCTCAAAAGACTCTCTGCAAGAAACAGTTCAAATAGGAGGAAAGTCTTGGCAACTAAATGAACAGAAAAGTAAAACCTACATGTCCACTCAGCTGTGTTGAAATAGTTCCAAGACAAATGGAGTACCACCTTACCAACGGTTCTTTCGCCAGGAAAAAATCCAAATATTCCATTCAACTAAGCATGTGAAGTTATATCGGAAATAACCATCAGCATGTAACTAGAGATAATACATACTGTAGCCTCTCTAGCCTAGTGGTGCTCTTTGGATGGCATCATAGCAAAGTTACATAATCAAAGTGAATAAATATCAGCTCACCTTACACCCAGCTTTTCCCAGCCCCAATGCAATTGCTTTGCCAATTCCTCTAGAGGCTCCAGTGACAATGACAACAGGGGATTCCAGCTTCTGTGCAGCTTCAACACCTGATTGTTCAACAGTAGCAACTTGGGCTTTTATGCCTGCACAAACAATTATACCAATAAGTACCTGCAAATTAGTGATGCACTTAATGGATGCCGTCAACAAGCTGATAAAGCAGAACACTTGTGTCTCTATTTCATCCCCCCCCCCAACCTTATTTTTATTCTTATTATTATTGTTATTTGCATTGCAAACAAAGACACCTAATAATGAATGATGTTTACTTTCCACAGTGCTCACCCCCATCAATTCTAGTAACTAATTTGTCAAGAAACTCCAGTCACTTAAATATTTATCCACCCATTAAAAGAATTGCTGTATTTCCTACTACATCATCTGTGCATTCAAACAAGCACTTTTCTCAAGCATTTCTGTATGATAATTTGTTCGCAAACTTATTTCTATCACCACACATTTGGTTATTTTCTCTGACTTCACAGTTGAAACAATTAAAACAATTCACATTGCACACACTTTTTAGCTCCAGATGCAAACATATCTCTTGGTTTTTTCTAAACATTATTCCATAACAATTTAAGTTTGGAATGTTATTGATGATCATCACTAAAATTCTTCTAGCTTTCTTAAGATCTTCTCTTTCAATAATTTTTCTATTTCTCCAAATATAAGCGCGTGCACAAACATAATCGCAACATATTTGAGGTGTCTAGACGGGCAAAAATGGATAAAACTTTAGATTCTCCAATAGATTATGCTACTTTACCCCTCCATCTATCTGTATCTCCTTTAAAATCTTCCCCCCCCCCCTCTACATTAATATACGGCTATAGATCAACTCTCCACAAACGCCAAAACATACAAACATAAAATCAGAGGCCTGTTGAGATCATAATTCAAATTGTCTAATTTACATTAATTTGACATGTATCTTCGCTAAAATCTACTCTCACTAAATTAAGCCTGTATATAGTTCGTCCACACAAACATACACAAAAGCATAGAGGCATATGCGCGTAACAGAAAACAAAGAATAAAATTTCAAAGAGTTAACCGGAGGAAACGAAGGAGCTGATGGATCTGCATTGCGAGCTTAAGGAATGTCGGAGCTGAAGCGGAGATGAAAGCTGCTTAAAATGAGCGAACTTTCGGTCAGAAATTCCGCCGGTGGCGGCGGACTTGAAGGCGAGAACAGCCGATCCAGCGGCGGAAGCAGCCATAAGATTTCTGCGAATTGGAGAAATCGAAGAGAGAGAGAAACGAGAAGAAACGATGGTGGTTAAGTTCGCCACTGAGAATGAATGAGAGAAGGAACGCACTAAAATGGTGTGGTTTATATAGTAAGTACTGTACAAGTAAAGCTTTGATTTTTAATGTTCTGCTTCGAAATTTCCGAAGACACAACAGAGTCCCGGCGCGAGCAGTGACTGAAGAGTCAGTAGGGGCGATACGTACAAAGGCTTCCTCGGTGTTGGTGGGTGTTTTCTTTTCTCGGTGCGCCAATACATTTAGCACCTTTTTCCAACTTCTTTCTTTTCATTTTATAGTATTTCTTTTTCTTTTTTTTTGTCGTTATTTTATTTTAGACTTTGGTTGTTCAGTTTTTTTTTTTTTTTGGGGATTAAAGTATTCTACAAAAATTTGTGTCTTCTTTGAGAAATCAAATTATTTCCAAAGAATTCCTATAAGCAGAATCTTACAATTAGTATATAAACAAAAAATTGGATTTGATAACAATGAGTGTATTTGCTTATATCATCAACACATTTTTTAATTATTTTTTTATCTAACGTACATCATATCCAAAATTATCTCAAACAATTTACAATCCAAAATTTGAATGAGTAATCTATATGTTTCATATACTACGTGTTTGAGATAATTCCTCAAAAGGGTTGCTCATTTTCTAAAAACATTGGTGGTTCTTGTAACTAGATCTTGTGCCCTTGCAATGACAGAAGGATGCACTCTTAAAACATTGATGAAAAGGAACTGTTGATAGCATGGCAGGGAAATCAAGGGCGAAGTCAACTGGGAAAACCAAACAATGGCAAAATTTCTTCTGCCAAGCAAGGTACTGTTAACTAAATCACTGTACAACATCCGCTTGCATCAATTGTTAATTGGAGATCCAAAATTCAAACAAGTACGCCAGTGCTCCACAGAATTGGATGAGATCCGATTAGACATCCACAGTTTGACAATCACGCACTTGCTTGGGGACGCTTTTTTGAATTATTCTTCCGGCGGACCTTTATAAAGGCCTTGTCCAGATCCTGAACCCAGAAACAAATAGTTCAGGTTTGATCTTAGACAAAGTTATTAATGTAATCATCATCACTAAAACATAGTATCCACTATCGTTTTTATATATCGTCTGCTACGGGAAGAAACTGAATTCTCTCCAAATTGTTAAGAATCCAGTAGAATTTTACGAAAAACATTTTACCTGTGTCTGTTCATCAGCTGATGTCCCCGAGGACCAAAGCTTCTCCAAATTGTAATATGCTCTCACTTTCTCATCAAGAGCATGAATTATCAGTGAACCTACACAAGTTGTGAAGCAAAGGGCTCAGAAGAGAGATAATAGAAGAGTTAACTGAGACCTTAATCACAATGAAAGCACATCCAGTACATTTGAAAGAATAGCCAAGGGCAAGATGTAAGCATAGCAATCCATCATCCACAACAATGTAGTAAAATAAGAACAAGTAATAGACAACATAGTCGGTCCATAGTAACAAGGTGTAACAACTATCACTGCTATTGTGGGTTGTTTAACTAAGATTCTTTCCGCATATTATGCTGCCCGCTTGAAGCTGCTCAAAGTTTAAAGTATAGTAGCTCGTAGCTCCAAAACTTAGACATTCAATGGGCTGATTATCTCTAATAACTATCAATCCTCAGAAATCAACTTCTTTTGTGGTCACAAGATAATATCTCCAGCACAGAAGTGCCCTTTTCTGCAGGAACGGATTCCTGATAACATATAGAGTTTGTATGTCTCAGACAAGTGTAATTAACCAATCCTTGAACTCTCTTTGTATGAAGTCCCTAATTTGGCAGAAGCACATGCATAACCATAACAGCAGTCCAAGAAACACTAGATGCTCCTGCAGCAGAATGTCTTATCATCTGAATATAGAAACAAGAGTGATTTGTTGGGAGGAAAGAAAATTGAAACAGCTATATAAATCATAAATCAAATAAGCAAATACCTATTTCTGTTTGCCCGGTTATACATTACTAGAAAGCTTTGTTCTAGTCCTTGAAGACATCAAACTGATTCTTACTTGTGAACTTCTACCACAATTTTGAAGAGCTATTCGTTCACCATAAGCTACAGCAATGCATATATTAACAAACTAGCAAAACATTTCTGGTTTGTTCAGTTTTGGCCTAGCTCATACACACAGTATAGAAACAATTTAGAGCACTGGCACGGAAGCAAGATTTATATAACAAGTAAAACTGAAGGAAATAAAGCAATTCCTACAAGCTTTTATAACATTATAGTGATTATTTTGACAGCAGCAATATTTATCCCAGGCTACTGAAGAGCTGCAAAAGCAACTCGGTTTGAAAATGAAACTCTTACTGACAAAAGGACTACTGCCTGAACAAGTTTCCTAAGGCATAGCGACCCTTAAAAATTAACTTCTCAAGTTCCAGGCAAATATTCAAATTTTAACAAAATGCGTACCGATCAAGTAATCTACCACACAATTCCAATTCAAGACAAACAAGTGGCGCAAGTGGAGGGCTTAATTATGTAGCTGAATACCACAACACAAAGAGAAACAGAAAATTGGGGCGGGGGAAGAAAAGAAAGAAGGTATACCTGAGTCAATAACAATCCACTTCCCCCCTTCCTGTCCTTCCACACTGGGCAACAACATCCTCTTGGCTCCCTTTTGCTTTTGCTTAACCTACACACCCAAACAAAACCAAACTTCCTTCAATCACAGAAATGCCATAGCAGCGGTACTACAAGCACAGAATTCACCGATACCATCAGGGTCTTAACTCAAAAATTAACTCATTTCATGGCCACATTATACCCTCAACTTGTGTGTGTGTGTGTGTGTGCGCGCGCATTAACAGAACTAGTAGAGAGACTTTAACCATGGTATGTCGAATAGTCAAGAGCCAAAATATGAAATATGTACCAAAAATTAAAGGACCTGCCTTGTAAATAAGGGCTTGAGCAATATTACGGACGTGCCAATCGGAGCGACCGGTGGCGATGACCATATAATCGGCGAAATCATAGTTTTTGGGAACGGGAATAACTTGGACGTCGTCTGCTTTGACGTCGCTCAGGACTTTCTGCACTTCTTCCAAGTTCAGGAACTCTCGGCGGCTCCGACTCTTACTATTGTTGTTATCCGGCGATTGTTCTTCCGTTACCACCGAGGAAGAGCAGAAAGCGCGGTTGAGTAACGTGGGCCCTGGCTGTCGCTGCTTCCATTGTTGGACGGCGGAGGACAACGTTCGACATCTTACTGCCGACCACATTGGATCACTGCTGCCTTCTGTTACTACTTCAATCTTTGGTTTCAACTTGTACCTTGCACGGAAAAAGTCCGCTGGTAGTATGATGCAGTACCATCCTACTACTGCATCATCTATTGGGCTTTGGACCCACTGAAGAAGCCCAAAGGAATCAGAGGTTCACCCATGGGCATCGATTTTTTTATAGACCTACTACAATGTATACTCACCTGGACCTATTGTTTCATGATGCTTTGAGTGGGCTTCAAAGGCCCAACAAGTTTTGTACACTTTCATATTTTATGTATTTTCTAAATTTTAATCACTAGACTATAAATACTACACACAAAATATCCCTTTTCGGTACAAATACTGACAAGTATCGATCGATTTACCTTTAGATCCTTAGAAAAGGGATATCAGTCTTTAGATAATTTTAGGAGTTTAAATTATTAAATGACATATTAAGAATGTATTAAACTACAATTTTCGGTGTCGGCGTGGGTGGGTATATCGTAGAATTTTCAGTATGAGACTAGCGATCGAACGTGTATATAACATATGTCCAAACAGCTTTTTTTTTTTCTTGAGAATCCCACTTAAATTGGGAATTCAAGCATAGAACTAGAAATTAAAGTCAGACTTTCAATTTAGGCAAATATGACGTTTTTCAATTGGATGTAAGATGGATGTCTCATGTATTAGTATTTCTCAACTAGAGTATTAATCTTTGAAAAGAAAATGTAATATATATACTCCAAAATCGGAATATATATATATATATATATATATATATATATTAACTAGTCTAATATTGTCAATTTTGGCAAAAGATGACGTATTCTCTGGCTTCCTGAAGTAGTTATGAATATTAGTATAGCCACTTACCCATTCCCCCTCACCACCCACCCAAACCCATCGCCTCCATAAAGGGGAAAAAAAGAATAAATAGAGAATAAATTGTTGAAATTCCAGTGGGAAAATGACCAGAATTTTCCTAGAATACAAACGCATGCATAAAAGATGAGAAAGCTTTTATTTTTGGTAATCATTGATGAAGGGGACCAGAAAGATGAGGAGATAGAGAAAGGTAGGGAGGAAGGAATAACATTTTGATGGTAAGGCTATTTATCACTGTCGCCCGGAGCAATTATTTTTTGGCTTAATCAAAACTGTGGATGGAGAAAGACCACTGACTCATCCTCCGTGAGCCGAGGCTCAGAGACGGCATTCCTTCTATACCTACCAATTAAAATGACACTCTAATTATTTTTTTTATATATAATTTTTGTTGAAAATATGTGGACGAACCAAATGATTAATCATGTCCTAACCATATAATTAATCTTCTTTCGATTGTGCCTTGAAGCTAAAATTATAGCATATAGTATTAGTGAAACCGGGTTTTATTCAATCTAATTATCTGGTGATTGCTGTCTGTCAAAGAAAACCATGGATTGGTCAGATGACTAACCGGCCGGGGTCCCCAACTCCCAGCCTTCAAATCAAAGCAGCATTGCAACCAAAACACTAATTAATTCGGCAGACTCGGCATCTTTAGTTATAAGTATTTGATTATCATCAAGACTAATATAGGCTAAGTACGCTTTTGCTGGCAGATGGATTGGATTTTATTTATTTATTTATTTTTTAAACCTCTCATCGCTCTCTGTACCCTTTCTATCCTCAACTGTCGAGTTCGTGATTCGAATTCTGAATCCGACGACCAGAAAAACTCAGATGAATCGGATCAGGCTGAGCAAGAGGTCTTTAATTAACTTCCACTTCGAGAGGGCACAAACTCTCCCTATATGAATGAGTGGATGTTCTAACTGTTATTATCATTAGTACTCGTTTGTCATTTTACATGATTGCATGGAGGAAAAAAAACCAAAAAGGATGCACATTGCAGCTACCTTTTCGCCTATGTTAAAGTTTTTGACTAATAAGAGGTTTAACTTCGTCCATCATATATTTTTCCCCCCACCCAAATGAGAATAATTTATTTAGAAATTTAATGCACAAGTCGGAGATGCATTGATGTGATTTTAATGTTCAAATTTCACAATCGAGAAAATATGAAAAGTGAGTTGAACAAGAAATAAAATAATATATGAATAGAAAAAAAAAAAAAAAACTCACTGGTCGGTTTTCATTCTTCCTATGTGTCAAAGTTGTTTTCTTCTTGTACATATTGAATTAGTTCTCTGACTGTAATTTTCACTTTTTTGGTTAAATCTTGAAACCAGTTGAAAGAACTTTTTGGAGAACATTTTGTTTCCAATAGCAAATATTTAGTGTTGAAAGAAAACAACTGGAGATAACATGTACAACCGATGAGTTCATCTACACGAAGTATCTGCTTTTTTTTATTTCTTCCATTTGACACTCCTGTCTAGCATAGTACTTTCTAGTTATTAATGGTGTAATAGGCGCATCTTGATGTAGGTTGTTGACTCCTCCTGATACTCCACTTTTTTCATCCTTGGATGAGGAGGCAATGCCAATCAACCGTGCACAGAGGGGCAGGCCTCGAAGTCAACCCATTTCAATTTCAAGATCATCAACTGTAAGTTTAGTTCATCAGTGGACTTGCATGTCTTGTTCGAGAAATGTGCTGAGAGCCTTTGTTCACCCTTATCTGATGTTATTCTCTGATATTCAACTTTCAGATGGAAAAGAGTAATAGAAGTAGTAGAGGTAGTGCAAGTCCAAATCGTCTTAGTCCATCTCCTCGATCTAGTCATAGTACGTATCAATCACGAGGCAGGCAATCTCCTGGGCCACATTCAAGTCCACCTCCTAGTTTACGACCTTCTACTCCGACTAGGAGACCATCACCACCACCAAGTAAACCATCAACTCCTGCTCAAAGGTCTTCTACCCCCACTCTTCGGAGGATGAGCACCGGCTCTAGTTGCCCTGCGGCTCCATCCAGAGTAAGGGGTAGTTCCCCTGTGAAGACGAGTAGGGGAAATTCTGCATCACCAAAAATAAAAGCATGGCAAGCCAATATTCCTGGCTTTTCTTCAGAGGCACCTCCCAACCTTCGGACTTCATTGGCTGATCGGCCTGCCTCATATGTGCGGGGAACTTCACCAGCATCTAGAAATGGCTCAAAATCTGGCAGACAATCAATGTCTCCAACTGCTTCTCGAAGCGTTTGTTCATCATATAGTCACGATAGGGACAGATTTAGGTCCCAGAGTAAAGGTTCAATTGCATCTTCTGGTGATGATGATGTAGACTCTCTACAATCAATTCCCATTAGCAGCTCAGACCATTCAGCTCTTAGGAGTGTCAGTACATTCTCGAATCGTAGGGATCTGAGCTCTTCAAAGAAGCCCACAAAAATAGTAACTTCCAGCTCTGCGCCAAAAAGATCCTTTGACATTGCAATTCGACAAACGGTATTTTACTTTACTGCTCTGCTGTTGGATAAATATATGGCTTTCCACTGGCTGCTAAGATTGACATCCATTTTGACACTCAGAGGTGTAAATCTTAATGGAGCTGTTTAGTTGAGCTGCATTGGGACTGATGCATATGCTTTAATGGGTCATTTTTAAGTGATATGTGCAGTAAGTGTCCAATAATGTCATAACATGGTGGAATTAATTGACCAAAAAAAAAGGAAGGAATCACCATTCCTATGGAACCTGCAGTTTTGCATCATCATGCAACGTAATGGTAATAAGCCAATTTCATTGCTTGACAGTAATGCCAGATAATAATAATCTTTGTGGAGACCACGTATATCAATCATACAATACACATATTAAGTCTGAGGTCATGGAGCTTAGTTGGCAAAAAGTAGTTTGACTTGCTCAGAATCAATTTAAAAGTACTTCCATAGCATCTTTTATCCTCCGCATCCAAAGTAGTAAAAAGTCATACAGTTAATTTATTCTGTCTCACAACTTAGAAAAGTGAAATGGGGAGACCTCGGGCTTATATGTATGCATGGAGCTGAAGTGCCAATATAGGGCTGATCGTGGAGTTGGCAACATCTCCAGACTTCACTGTAAAAATACCTTCGCTTGCCACATGATGAGTATGGCGAGGAGTAACGTTGTGCTGTGATGCCATGATGAACACGGCATCTCTATTGATTTCTGAATTCGAGATAACAATCATTATTGATTTTTTAATTTGAGATAAAGCTAATGCTTGTACTTTTAGGCCACTTGCCGTGCATTAAATGCAACACGTAGTGACATGCTTGTTTGACGTGTGAGTTTGAATGGTTTTCCTTATGCATGACTTGCATGTGCATTTTGTGGTTTTTGGCTTCCACAATCTGATTAAAATATGCCATGGGTATCAAATTGAGTTTCCATGGTAGAAGTAAAGACCTTCATCCCTTTTTTTTGGTTCTTTTGTAGGATAATAGAAAAGGCTCTCCGCATAATATGTTCAGGCCTCTTTTATCTAGTGTCCCCAGTTCAACCTTTTATGCTGGTAAATCAAGTGCTGCTCATCGGGCTGTCATATCTAGAAATTCTTCTGTCACAACTAGCAGTAATGCAAGCTCTGATCTGGGAACCAGTGGTGCGCACGATACTGAAGGTAGTGAACATAACCAGGAGGGTATTACCAACGCCTGCATAAAGGCACCATACCATGACATACAAGAAGAAGTATTTGCCTTCGACAAGGCTGATTCCATAGATGACAAATCTGTAGATAAGAATAATGAGAAATTGTCAGACAGGCATGATGAAGATGATGGCCATCTTGTATTGGATTCTCATGTAGTTGGTGATGGAAGTTCTACCCACCAGGATAAAGGATTGGAAATTTCAGTTGCTTCTGAAGTCTTCGATGTGAAAGGTGACTGTCAAGATGTACATAGTTTTGAGGAGCCTCTACTCTGCTCCAGATGTGGTTGCAGGTATCATGCCATTGAAGAAATTGATGGGGACCTAAAACTTTGTAGAAACTGCAGAAGTGCAGAAATACTTTCTGTTCTATCACCCAAAACAGTGATTGCTGTTGAGAACTTACCAGCTGTCTCTGCAAAAGTTTTAGATCATGGATCAGTGGATGCTTTTGCTCCATCTGCAGCAATGCTTGTATCTTTAGCTGTAAATGCTATGGGTGAACCAGGAACTGAATGCCATACTGAGCCGAATGCTAATCTACCAGAGAGTTCTGGTGCACTAGGTGAGCTGAATCTTGTCAGCCAGCAAGTCGGAAGTCAACCAACTTTAAGTGGCAACACAATACTTAATGATGAGATTGTTGCTCAGCAATTGCAGAACAACAGTGGCTATTCAAATTTAAAGGCCGATGTTTCAGAAGGTGCAGGTATTTCTCTATTGTTGACACCACACAGTGTCAAGGGGCCTATCATAAGGAGTAGGACTTTTACTGCCACCAGCATAACTTGTGATGACTTTTCCTATGTGAGAGACAGTGCAACAAGCACAAGAAGCTCCTTTGGGTATGGTACTGCCTCTGCATCCTCTTCTCTTGACTTGGGATCGAGTAGACAAACTGAAGCTCGTGCTCAAAGGCAATTAAGTAGCAGGAAGTCGGACACTGAAAATTACAGATATGAGATGTACTCAAAGCACCAACGCTCAGTCTCATCTTTGTCTGGAACTTCAACTCATGGTTTCCAAGCTTCAAGTCTTGCAACAAGCTCTCATGACGAAAGTCTTGAGGTATCTGCAGCCGTCCATGTGGAAAGAATTAATCTGGAGGTGACTCGTGTTCCTCTCCAAGACCTTTCACTTGCTTCAGAAAGTATAGAGTTGGACAACATGAGCACTGATATTGAAAGTGACAGCAAATTGAGAACAGTTTCAGAGCTGTCAAGCCATACAGCAAACATCCATCTAGGAGATGCTTATGTGAAATCAGCTTCAAATATTGAAGAGCCTGCTTTGCATGAGCATGTTGAAGAATTGGCAAATGATTCTCAGGGTGGCATCAGTTTAGAAGCATCATCTACATATCCTGAGACTTGTCAGGAGGAAGATTGCTTGTCAAATGCTTCTACTGACCGTCTGGATGTTGCAGAGGTTCCCAACTTGAGCTCTTTGGATGCTATATCAGAGTTGGAATCTGAGAATGATCATGTGATTTCTCCTGATTCTGTATTTGATATGGACTCCCAAAATTCAAGAAGCAGCATGGATGGCTTGCAGGATCCTTCTCATCGCATTGTGTCCTCTCATGACATATCAGCTTCTATTGAAGAATCTGTCAACCAAGATCATGTGCACTGCATTCTTGGTATGTAAACTTCTTTATCCATTTTAATCTTGTCCTTTTTGCTTTGTTTACTGTTTGTTAGTTATTCTTTCAATTTATTGCTTTCACGAATTCGTGCTTTAGGTCATTAGAGTTTGATATCATTTTCCTCAACTAGATTCTAGGACTTTGTGTTGGCTAGTTGTGGAATTCTATGCAGTTGTATGATGAGAGGATATATAGTAGAGAGTCTGGAACTTAGTTTAATGGTGTCTTTTCAACCTTTTGACATTGACTTATTCCAAAAATGTGCTTTTGAACTCAAGAGACTGTCTAAAATTGCAAAAGCAGATATTAGCCTATTACATCTTGTGTCTCAAGTTTCTTATGAATTCTTCCCAGGATGTGTATCATTTTAGATTTCTTTGTTGATATTTGCCTCACTTTTTTCCAATTGAACCAATAATAAGCCAAGACGATGCACATTTCACATTTAATACTCTGAACTTTCACTAAGTTTCTGTTTCTTTGCGCCTGTTCTTAATTGATTTTGATTCTTGTAAAAGCTGATCTTAGAAAAGCTTAAAATTGAAATCTAAAAGGCATGTCTCTACTAGCTTCTGATTTTGGCTTTTCATAGTTTAAAAAAGCCAAAGGCTGAAAGAAGAGTCTTTGAGATCATCTTATGACACATTTTTCAAATTGAGAAGCTAAAAGCAGGTCCAGCAATTGACTTGGGAACAGGCCCATCGTGACTGAAGTCAAAGTGCTAGGGATTTCGTTTAAAGCTCATCAGCTGCTGCAATAGACTGAGTTTAGAAGGCTGAGTTTATACTACATTAACCCTTCCTTCATGTTTTATAAACACTAGCGGGAATAGCCACACCCTATGGGCGTGCAAATTAAGAAAAGAATTAAGTTATTTTTATTAAAACCAATGGAAGTTATTAGAAGTTTTATTTATTTATTTTTTGTTGCATACCAAGAAAAAATTGAATTCTCTTTGCAAAAAAAAAATAAAATAAGTTATTGGAAGTTAAAATAGTGGAAGTTATTGGAAGTTACTGAACTTTAGTAGTTATCTTTAGTAAATCTTACTTTTGTGAGGGTAAAATTGAAAAAATAAAAGATGACAAAATATTTTTACACCAAACCCGTGCTTCATTGCTTTTATATGGAAAGATGTTCTGGCTAAATAAGATGCATATGATGCACCTTTCCGAGAAACTTCAGCAATTATGCTTTTCGTGCAGAAGAAACCTCATGGTTTTAACTTCCAAAGAATAAATGAAAGCCAATGTTGAGAATCTAATAATTTGTGAACTATATGCTTATGAGGTGGCGTAATTTATTCTTTAGATCTGAAGTGTTGCACTGTGCTGAACTTACTTTCATATTGCTAAATGTAACACTGTCCCATCAATTTCATTTCATCAAGGTCCTTTTTACTTGTATCATTGCTTCGCCAAAGATAATCTTCCTTAGCAATTTGTAAGAGTTGTAAATCTTGCTTCATGTATTATATTTCCTGTATGACTTCTTTTCCTTCTTCACACTTTGATCACGTTTCCCTGAATACTAATTCTAATAAATAAAGAAAGAAAAACCAAGGAATTGATGCATAAAAATGCTGAAATTCTCGAAGTGTTGACAGAAGAATCAACTGTCATGCTAGAAGGCCAAGGAGACCCCCACACTAGGAGCTTGACACTAGAAGAAGCAACAGATAGTATACTCTTCTGCAGCTCCATCGTCCACAATCTGGCCTATGAGGCTGCAAGTATTGCAATAGAGAAAGAAAACTACACCCAGTTGGAGGGTTCCAGGCCAGCAGTAACTATCATTGGAAAAACAAATCCTGACAGAAGGGAATCACGTACCAGAATTGTGTCCAAGCGCAATACTAAGCCCCAAAAGGCTAGGCAAAGGCGGCTAGAAACAGACTCAAAACCCCCTCCTAGCAACATTGCATCTGATGAGAAAAGTGATGTTTCTACTGCTCGTATTGTTGGGTCTCCTGCTAGGGGTGATAGTGTGAAACCTCCAAAGCTGGAATCCAAGTGTAACTGTGCAATTATGTAAGCTTTCTTCCAGAAAAGATTGCTGTGCTTGTCACAAGGTTGCTTGGGGTGCTCCAGTCAACTTAATTTTGTTGAAGGCCGAGAATTTTTAATTCAATGGGGAGATGTTTGGATAACTACCAATTGCATTTTGTTGTTTGCAAGTAATTCGTAAGAAATATGTCATTGTAAAGTTGTAGTTCTTATTAGGCGGATGATAGCTGAAGGCTCTGGTAGGTTGTTTATTGTTCCACTTGCCATATTCTTGTTAGCATTTGTATTTGATTCCAACCCTTTACTAGAGAGCAAGCGGTAATTCTTTTGCTGTGCTGCTATAGAAATGTTTATTCAAGCACTAGCATTTCTGTTCAGTGTAATTGTGGCTGATAAAATTTGATTCATTCTTGTCATTTGCTTTTGTATTCTTATTGGAGATGATAGATAAACCTTGGGATGTTACTGGAAAGTATAGGCAGGCACTCGTGCCTTTTCTTGGATTTGCTCGGTGGAGCTATTTCTTTTATTTTCTCCAAAAACTTTTGATCACAAGCCCAACTGTCCTTAAATCAACAATGCCATGTTGAGTCTCCCAAGCACTGAGATAACCGAAGCGTCATTGTTGTGGTGATTGTATTCAATCTGCAGTAGCGCCGGTAATATATGTAAGAAGAGACGTCAAATCTCAAGAGTTGGCAGGTAAGGTTGATGGAATGTAGATAGATAAGCGTAAGGCTTACCCTTGAAAAACACAAGTCTTCTGGGACCAAGTTTCCAAGTCCGAGGGAGGGGGGAGTTCCAAGGGAGCTTAGGATTGTGTATGATCATCCGATGAATCACCGCTGGATTTCTAGTCAATGTGCTAGTAGTACGGGTCTGAAGTGACAATAAAACCCTTGCCTAGTTGTCCATGTCTATGTCTAAATCTGAACTTTCCCTCCATAAAAGAGGCGGGAAGAGACCTACAACTGCACAGTGCACAGCATAAGGTTGCAGTCACGAGTCAAGTTTCTCTTAAGCTATTTCCATGGACTCCGATTCCGATGGCTCTCACATTTCCGCAACGCCACCACGTGATTCACCACCTCCCTCTCCGCCTCCAGCATCAGCAAGACCCGCTCTTCTTCTATCCTCCGCCAAATCAAGAACTAAATTTAAAGCCGCCACCATTTCCAAGTCCACTTCACGCCCCATCCTGAAACCAAAACCCTCTAGCAAATGCTCTAAGTCAGCTATAAATCCTGATCCGAAACTACCCCTTCAAGGAAACCCAACTAAAATTTCACTTCCCCCACCTGACCTCTCCAGTTTACCCTTCCATCATATCCACCGCTCTGGCTCAATTAATGGAAGCTCCTCATTTTCCTCCAATTGCAACCATTCAGTCCCAACCCTTGTACCTGTTGGGCGTCTGATATCCAAGTTTGCATCTTTCTCGAAAACCCGGAAAGAAAATCTGAAATTTGAGCCCCTTGAATCTAATCCCACTGAACCTTTATTAACAACCCCAAAGCCGAAGGCAGAGTTAGGGGATGACAATGTGGTCCGACAAGAAACTGGAAATGAAGGATTTAATGCGTCCAAAGTGGTGAAGAAACATCCTAATTGCATTGAAAGTGGCGTGTCTTCTGCTTCTAACGCTTCTATATCGTCAGCGACAAGGGTTAAATTTAAAAGTGAAGGTAACTTTGTGAAACTGAATATTAATGGTTATGGAAGGAAAAAGTTCAAAATCAAGGGGAAGCACAGGAATCTTGGAAGTTCATCAATTGGGCGTCAAAGATTTTCCAGAAGACGTAATAGGAAATTTGGAGTTGAAAATAAAGGAGAAGGAGAAGTGGGCGGATTATGTGATGAAGATGATCATGTTTTGGAGATTAAACACGTGCAGAAAATATCTAGTTTTGATATCGGTACAATTGAAGAGGCTGTGATGAGGGTACGAGATGAGGCATCAGATGAGAATTTACTGAGGCTATTGAAATTAAGTCATGGCTATGATTCATTCAGGAATGGGCAATTGGAGGCTATTAAGATGGTGCTTTCTAAGAAATCAACCATGTTAATTTTACCAACTGGCTCTGGGAAGTCTTTGTGTTATCAGGTGCCTGCGTTAGTTTTGCCAGGAGTTACCCTTGTCGTTAGTCCATTAGTCGCTTTGATGATTGATCAGCTCAAACACCTACCTCCTACTATTCCTGGTGCTCTCCTGTGTAGCAGTCAGGTAGTAATACGTGCAGCAGTGTTTGTGTTTGTTTTGCACGTTAATAATTTCTGATCTTGTAGGCTCTTTTTTTTAATTTTATTTTTTTGTAGACACCAGAAGAGGCTTCCGAGGCACTTAAGTTATTAAAGAACCAAACAATAAAGGTAACTGGAGACATGGAAACTTCTAGTTCCATTCCTATATTTACCTGCAGGCATGTGATTTATTCTGTGAATTTGCTGTTTAAGTCAAATTTTTGAATAATTGAACTGTCCCACAAAATATAGAAGTATGCGGTGGATGATGCTGGGTTATGTTGCATTTTTCCAAAGTTATACACTTTATGAGCTTTTCCCTTTTACCTTAAGTGCCAAGAGTTAGAACTGGTTGGTCATGTTTCAGGTACTCTTTGTTTCACCAGAGAGGCTTTTAAATGTCGAATTCATATCCATATTTTCTGGCATTTCTTTAATATCACTTGTTGTGATTGATGAAGCCCACTGTATATCGGAATGGTAAGTTCTTGCACGTTCAGTAACTTGTTGAATTTTGTAACTTTCCCCTTACATGCATTTCAGACTAGATGGATGCAGTTTTCATGCTTGCAATTCTTCATATATGCTGAACAAATTGACAGGTCACACAATTTCCGGCCTTCCTACATGAGGCTAAGGGGATCAATGTTGCGTGCTAAGCTTCATGCTGATTGCGTTCTTGCAATGACTGCAACTGCAACATCTAAAACGTTGCATAATGTGATGCATGCTTTAGAAATTCCTGCAACAAATCTAATCCAGGCTGTCAAAATGAGGGAAAATCTGCAATTATCTCTGTCACAGACTGGAAATAGGCAAGTATACACTCTTATTCTCTTTTAGTTTTGACTTGACTCCTTTTGTCTTCTATTTGCATTGAGCATTCTCTCTCTCTCTCTTTTTTTAAAATCCAGAATGAAAGATCTAATGACATTACTCAAATCTTCTCCCTATGTGGAGATAAAAAGCATAATTATTTACTGCAAATTTCAGGTAATCTTCGCATAGTTTTTACTAGTTCTTTGCAGATATACCACATTTTGCACTAGTATAGCATTGGCTGGTGACTGATTTTATTTGTCCTTTTGGTGGTTCACAGTCTGAAGCTGACCTGATAAGCAGATATCTATGTGACAACAATATCTCAGCTAAGGTTGGTGCTGCATATACTTGCTTTTTGTGGTGGGCAATGTTAACATTATCCTGATCTGGTGTGCTCAATTTTTCTTTGATTGAAACTTGAGAATCTGTTAGTTCCTTTTCAGAGTTATCATAGCTCTATCCCTGCAGAAGATCGACGTCGTATACAGGAAATATTTTGTTTGAACAAGATAAGGGTGGTAGGTACTTGTGTTAACTCTTTACACCTTATGCCTTAAGCATAGCAGAAAGTTTCTTCAGCATTTTGCTTTATTTTAATTAGTTTACAATCTTTTGTGTTTGGAAGGTTGTTGCAACTGTGGCTTTTGGCATGGGACTTGATAAAAGGGATATTGGAGCTGTAAGGACATTTTCTCGGTTCTTCTTGCATTGTAGAATATTCTTAAATAATACTAAAACGTCTGTGTATGTAAAAAGTAGATATCAAAATGTTGCGTCAATAAGTTACGTCTCTTTCTTAGGCTTGGCAGACATTGGTTTCTAGTATTGCTTAGCTCAGCTGACGACAGTTACTTTATAAAGCAGTAGTTTTTGTCAGGTGTTTATATGAGAACTTTTTTGTCAATCTAAAAGAATAAATAATTCTGTCTGTTCATGATCTTCATGCTGAACCTGCTGATCCTGCTGGATATGTGGTGGTTACTGCAATAACCTAGCAGATTGGCTTATGCATTTGTTGAAAATCTATTTACATGTCAGTTGTACAAAGTTTCAATAAGCAATGTTCTTAATTTTTTTATATGCTCCATCTTCCATTTCATAGTTCTTTTACTTTCTAGTATTTGTGCTAGACTTCTTTTGTGCTTTTGTTTCAGGTAATACATTACAGCTTACCAGAAAGCTTGGAAGAATACGTTCAGGTTGATACCTGTTCTACAAAAAATTGAACTCTTTTCAAAATCTTTTAGATCACGTGGTCTCTTGATGTCCTTTCTTTAAATTTTATTCAGCTAAGCTAAATGTAAACCATGCAGGAGATAGGCCGTGCTGGACGTGATGGAAGATTGTCGTATTGCCATCTTTTTTTTGATGAGGCTACCTACTTCAAGATGCGTAGTCTTATGTACAGGTATTAAGTGTCATCCCACCTTTTCATCTTTCTTTTTTGGTTTCAAAATATCTAAAAATCGGTACATTGTTCCCAGTGATGGTGTAGATGAGTATGCTGTGAAGAAGTTCCTTTGTCAAATTTTCAGTAATACAAATTCATCAGGCAAAATTTGTTCAATAATCAAGGAATCTGCATCTCGGAAATTTGATATCAAAGAAGAGGTCCTTCCTTTTCCTTTCAAATAAGAGCCTCTTGATGTTTCTGAAGAATAAGCTGTACTTCTGAACTTAAAACTCTGCATTCTGTAGAATCAGTAGCCAGCATATCAACTTGCTGGTTGAATACTGTTTTTATTTCTTTGACTGAATAAGAAGGACCACATCCAATCTGATATTTGTATATGCCTAAAGACAAAGGGCCTAATTCCTTTCTTTAGCAGTTGCAACTCTCCTTAAATATATCGTGCAACTATTCCCCTTTATTGCACCATTGAGCCTCCAACAAAATCTTTGGCATATTAGTTATCTGTACTTCAAACCCCATATACTTGCTTTATGCGTAGCTGGCATGCTTTTTCTGTAATAATATGACTGCATTTTGAGTTACACAAGTACTAAATTACTCAATAGGGGAAAATGTCCCTTTAAGATGTTGAATCTATCCAAAAGCAGCACATGGTGTGGTTTCAAAATCCCTTCAGCTGTTCTGACAATGTTGTACCTCTAAATATGCTTGCCCTGTTAGGTGATGCTTACAATTTTAACTCAGTTGGAATTGGATGACCTGCAATACCTGAACTTGCTTCCACAGATCAAGGTTACTTGCACTTTAAATTTCCATCAGGTAGTTTGTGACTTTATGTTATATTGTCTCTCAGGTGGATTTGTTTGTTCTAACTTTGGTTATCATTTCTAATAAGTTCTATGACTGTAGACTTCCCCATCTTTGCTCGCAAATAAAGATATTGTAATTGCAGCAATTTTAAAGAAGTAAGGATTAGTTTTTTGATTATTATTACTAGCTGGACGTCTTTCTCATTGATTTTCATGAGCTAAACAAACGCTTTCAGGTCTGAACTGAAAGACGGGCAGTATGTGTTTGACATACCAAGTACAGCAAATAGCATCAGATGGCAGGCTACTGACTTGTCGAACCATTTGAAGAGTCTAAAGGTGCAAGTCATAAATTATCTGCATTTATATTCGAGTATATGCAAGTCACATATCAACATGTGGAGAAATTTGGCAGCTAATCTATAGCTTTATCACAGTAATCTTTCAATGAGCAAATGAATTATTAGGACTTAATAGATATTTGAAGGCAGCCGGCAACAGTTATAGTGGAACTTGATTATTATCATGTAAAGTTTCCTCATTGGCAAAATTTTTTCACACCACCAGTGAAACTGTATACTGTTGACCAATCTTGACTAGCTCGCTGCTTTCTAGTATTTATGATTATCAATGACTTAATTGGAATGTCTTCTAAGAGGATCTTAAAAAGTCAGCATGAGTTTTAAAAAAAAAAAAAAAATAGAGCATGGGCAATTATTTGAAAACAATGTTCTGGTAATGGGAGCCATGATGTTATTTCAGATGTTTGTATTATCAACAAGAAGAGATACCATCTAAAACCTGTTATTGTCATATTAATAAATCAACCACAAGTTTGAACTCTATGCATCAAATGGTTTGTTATTCGTAGAACATGGTAGCATACATGATTAGCAAGTCTGTCTCGCAACTTCCAGACATTAATCAACTATATACTTTCTATTGGCTTACATTAAGAAAGGAACTTGAATTGTTGCTAACTTTGCCGCTCATTTTAGTTGAAGGGAGAGATTACATATGAATTGAAGGATCAGGCATTTTGCTATAGAATTGTGGATGTGCCGAATGATGTTTGTTCTTTGGCAGCAAATATTACAAAGTGGTTATCAGATGTTGAGATCTATAAGGTGATTGTCTCTGCTAATATGTTACTGATCAATTTTGTAGTTGTTTGATGTATGTATAACTGTGCATGTTACCTTGTTTCTTTGGTTTACAAATATGGGTGGTTGAAGACTAGAACGTGATGGCTCATGGTCCAAAGTTCAGAGCTATAAGAGTATCTCTGCTTGCATTTAACTTCTTGTTCATGTCTGTTTATGATATTTCCTCTGTGGTTGGGTATGATGGCCTCTGCAATTGTCAAAACTTATTCTAATTGATCTGACTTTTTAAGCATCTTCAACAACCACCTTGGATATATCAAAAATAGTATATTTTGGTGGTGAACACCTCCATTACCACTACTGTATCAAGCTTCAGTTTGACTTTCTTGGCACCTGGCATTCCTGGACATCACAAGTATCTGGACAACCATCATGACTCTTTAACTAGATAAATGCTTTCTCAAGCCTTGGTCAAAATTTCAAAGTATCTAGAATTTTCCTGTGACCTTTTGATCGTTTCAAAAATGGTAGACCCAAATACTGAACCCTGGGGAAGAAACGATTTCTTTTGATAAAGATCGTGCCCAATTTCTGAACTTCCTAAACTTGAGGCCAATATTGGCCTGGGGAGCTTGTGCTTCACTTAATTCAACCATTTACCTGACAATATTTTCTTCCTTCTGGCATAGGTTCGGAAATTAGATGCAATGTTCAATGCTGCGGTCTTTGCAGTAAAACAGTGTAATAAAGTGGATGGATGTAATGACCATCAACATACCCCTTGCTTACAAAGGAAGATTTTCGAGTACTTCAACAGCAATGATGATGATATCCCCAATATCATGGCTGAAAGCAGGTTGCAAATCCATTACGCTTTTCTGCACATTGCACTTTTTACTTCAAATTTGCGCTTACCGTGGTTCTATGAAGTTATGTGAACCTTGGATTGTCAAAACACGTCACACATTTCACAGAGCACCACTTCTTTCTCCCTCAGGTGTTTATAACATTAGAACCTCTGTCAGTGAACTGTTTGATGTTGTCTTAAGTTGCATGTCATCGCACTAAAACTAGTAAAATTATCTATCAGTTTTTGTCCTTAGGACCATAGAAGTGTCTATAATCCGATATTTCATGACCAATTCCTCTTCGGTTCTACTGTATCCGGAATCAAGCATAACGGTTTTTTCTTTTTTCAGTAACATGTCTGTGCTCTACGTAGCATTACTAAGTGTACTGAAACAAATTTTTTCAAATATGCAGCCGCTTTCTGAGAGCCGACATAAAGGTGAGTTTTTGTTGTTAATAGCCTATACTTCTGTAAAAAAGAAAAAGTTGGCAGAGTCGTAATTTCATTCCTCTGTTTTGTTCAAAAGGTGTTTTTGCAGAGTCATTCACAGGCAAAATTTACCCCCAGAGCTGTTGCTAGGATAATGCATGGCCTCGCCAGCCCAGCCTTTCCTTCTGCAACTTGGTTAAGAACTCATTTCTGGTATCTTTACTGCATCACCAATCTGTGCTTTAAGATTCAGAAGAAGTGAGTAGTGACTGAACCCTAGGGAAAGTTGTCAACACATACGCACCCAAAAAAAAAAAAAAGTGCTTGCTTCCTTCCATGGTGTGCTAGTTTTGGTTAAAAGTAAATGACATTTGCAGCTTCCTCAGATATGTTCAATGGTTCTTTCGAATAAACCTAATGTTTGCTTTTCTTGTGGATAATCTACTCTTCAAAGTAGTGCATCAGCCATCCTGGTAAAATGAAAGATACATGTTTTAGATCTGTTTTGCCACTAGTTTTCACAAGTTTCAAAGTCTACTGCGTGGATTTTGTCTCTCCTTGAATCATGAGGTTGTGTAGGACTATGAGGTTATTTTATTCATCAGGAAAAATTCAAGTCTCTTTCCATGCTTTGCCAGGACACTGACATAACTGAGTTTGTCTCTGCAGATTTTCTTGAGCAACTCGCAGGGTTAATACTGTCTTTTTTTCATTATAATATGGATCTCATAGCATTATGTTTTATGCTTTGTTGAAAAAAAAAAAAGATAGAAGTTGATCTACCTCTGCTTGAATTCAGGGGAAGATACACGCAGGTAGACTTTAAAGTGGTAATGGAAGCAGCAAGAGCAGAGCTCATGAAATTTGTTTCTCCTAGTGTCGTCTAAATGTTTCCCCAGTAACCGAAGGAAGCCTTCTGCACCGCCTAGTTGTCTCTAATGGCATTCAATTCAAGAGCCAGGGAGTCGAAACATTTTGGTCGACTGAGTTCACGATACAAGCCTGGTGCATTCAAGCTGTCTCTGCCAGAAGAATAGTAAGATTAAGTAGATTATTGGTCATCAGGTCAGTTTGGCCGATACAGACATTATGACTGATTTTTGAACCAAGAACCTGAAAAATGCCGGTGGGAACGCCTTTGCGATTGCACCAGAGGCATGAGAAGCTAGTCATTTTTTGAAGCTGAGGATGGAATGGGAGTGCAAATGACCTTAAGAAATCTGAGGCCTGCATTTGATTATTGAACTCGCTGTCGAGACTTTCCTGCATTAAGGTTGCTGCAGTGGAATGTTTGATTTTTTAACCTTATCAAATGTATGATGCATTTTTTATGCAGATAAATATCCGGCTTGGTTTTTTTTTTGTTTTCTGATTTTTTTAAATTTTGTCACGATGTTATCTACTTTAGTTTCATTTTTTTAATTATTATTTGTTATTTTTATTTTATCATTTTATTTTTTCGTAGTTTGTTAACTTATTTATTTTTAAACATTATCAATTTATGACAAACTTGAGTCTTCTTTCCTATTTTTTTTAAATGAAATTTTAAATTTACGTATGAAAAAAAAAAATGCTAGCGGGTTTGAGTGATTTTTTCATCCTTAATCATAGTTCATAAATTAATTTTTTCCAAACCAGTAGTGAAATTAGGGGTGGCAATTTTCGACACGATCTGAAAACACGACACAAACCTAATACGAAATTAATGGATTTGGGTTGAGGTTTTGCAGGTTCGGGTCAGAATCGGATCAAATCCGATGAATTTAAAAAGAAAACGGGTCGAATTCGGGTTAATCCGTGAGTGACTCGATAACCCGTTTACGAATTAAAAATAATTTGATAAACATAAAAATTATTTTATCTAACTAAATTAAGTTATTCTTTTTTTCCAAAGGCATTAATCACTTAATCCTAAATGAATTTATTTAACTTGTGTGAAGTTGAAATTATTATATATTTGGACAAATAATGTATTATATTATTTTTTACTTTTTTACTGTTTTAATTTATTTTATATTTGGTTTGTGATAAAATACTGTTATGGTGTTTTAATTTATTTTAGATTTGGTTTGGGATTATTTATTTAAAATTTTATTACTTGATTATATAATTAGTCTTGTAAAATTGGTTTTATTAGAAATTACAGTGATAAATTAATAAATTAAAATTAAGTTTCAGGTTATTTTGGTACAAAGTTTATTGTCTAACTTAGATAATAAAAAAATATGTTTGAAGAAAAAAAATTCTTTTTGAATATAATGTAAGTGAGATAAAAAGATTAGTTTTTAAAAAATGATTTAACCATTTTTGTTCAAGAAAGAATAATATTCTTATAAGAACCATTTGACGGCATATCCAGTTGACCGTTGAAGTGTTCCAGCCATCAGGCTTAATAAGCTAGCCAGGCTACTCCTACAAACAAACCAGTAGAAAACCAGATACCAAGCAATGTTCCTTCGAGTTCAACCCAACAAAGCAACACCATTTTTTTTTAACTCTTCCCTTCAAGCATCTTCCTTTTATTTTTCATCCAAATTTTCCAAAAAATCAACATCTGGAATATTTATTCAACCAGGAATTGTATTGGAGGCCAGAATCTGGTAAACCATTCTAACACCTTTAATAACAAACGTTTACCGGATGGTGCGAATAGTGGACGCAACAGCGATGTTGATTCGGAACTCAATACCTTCAATATCCACAGCTGATACAACATCTTCTGCCACAACATCGTTTGCATCAGTACCACCGCCGCCGTCGTCGTCGTCATCAATATTCACAAATTACCCTTTGATTTCAGCTGTCTTAGCTTTCGCTCTTGCTCAATCTTTCAAGTTCTTGACCTCCTGGTACGTTAAAAATCCCATCTTGAATCTAATTTCCAATTTCTTGAATGGCCCTTTTCATGTGATTCAATAAATATGTACTTTCTGATCTTACAATGTAAAGAACTTTTTCGGATCTGATGCTGTTGTAATTTTTTTCCCCAATACGAGTGCTGAGTTATATTGCTCTAGGAGGCATTTCATATCTAGAAGCCTTGCTGCATGGTATTTAATCCAGATTCCGGCTTTGTCGTGATCATGCATAAGTTTCTTGATATTGTCAAAAACTTGGCGCTACTTGTTTCCATTTTCTGGTAGCTTTTTGTACTTCACTAGATTCAATTGATCAAAACTTCGGGGGGCCTTAGTATAAGGACATGAAACTCAATTCATTTAGGTCCACAAAAAAGTTCCATCTCAAAAAAGTCACATCCTTGAATTGCTCACTGAAGCTGTCAATCTATTTGGCCATCTTGAGAAAAAGAGAAACGAAAAATAAATTCAAGGAAAACGCCAATGCAATAGCCTGCTGTAGGTGATTGTGTCTTAGTTAGGTGGCAGTAAACATATATAGTGATTGCATTTGCTAGTTCTAAGAGTATATATGTTTTGAGAATATTTTAGGTATAGGGAAAGACATTGGGATCTCAAGCAACTTGTCGGATCGGGCGGTATGCCATCATCCCATTCAGCAACTGTTATTGCCTTGGCGATAGGTGTAGGTTTGCAAGAGGGCTTTGGGGGATCTTTGTTTGCTACTGCATTGATCTTAGCATGTGTGGTATGTTATTCTCTCCTCTATCCTTACCTTCTGTATATTCTCTTTTTTTTTTTTAAGGGAATATGGGACATTGATTTATCACTGCTGACTGAGTAGTTTTACTGGCCTTGTGTTTGCAATTGAATGTAATTATTGCAGGGTCAACTGTTCTCTGAGTAACTCTGTTTTCTTTATTTCATCTTAACTGGCTGTTTGGAGCTTGGGGCTTCCTAGCTAGTTGAGGGTGCCCCTGCAGTTTTCAGGGTTCTGAAATATGTGCTCTTCTATTTGCAGTCAAGTAGTGTGTCTAAATACTTGTCCCAATGATCTGCTAGCCAGTTCAGTTGATTACTTCATATGAACAAGTTTATCTTTATTCTACCATTGTATTAGCATGTCAAAGAAATTTCCCGTCTAGGTAATTAAAGTTAGCAAGCAGGGTTAAGATCATAAATGACCTAATTCTGAAGTGAAATAAATTAATCCATTGTGTTGCTGATATTTTGCTTATTGAAATTCGAACTGAATGTGAAGAGGTAGAAAGTATTAGCAAAGGAAATATAACAAAGGCAGCCTTCTTTCTTATGTAACTTTGCTTGTTGAACTTCACAAGATTTGTGAAATATGAAGTGAAACTGCCACATGATAAACCACAATAAAAACAGAATTTTGGCAGGTTTCTTTACCGAAGAAACGTGTCCCAGGGTTCACAAGCCTATTGTTTGGGCTAACCTATTTCTAAGTGGACAATGAATAGTTTCATTATTTAAGTTTTATTTTCATCAATAAGTGTTTTTACAATTTGATAGGTGTAGCTTATTTTATACTGGTTTGTTTACCTAATACCTTAGATCTTTTATCAAGGTTCTATGATCATTGACTTTATCTCCATCTACAATTTCTTTGTTATTCTGACATTAGTAATTTTTTGTTTGCTTAATTTGTTTCTTTGTTTTTCAATCATTTAACTGACTTTAGATGAATGTCGAGAAGTTGTGTCTTCCTAATTACTATACAAATGCTCATTCATATTAAGAGGATTTCCCATATGACAATTTCTGGCAGGTAATGTATGATGCAACTGGTGTGCGACTGCATGCTGGACGCCAAGCAGAGGTGTGACAGTCCTGGTTAATTGTGTTTGTTTTCATTGATTTGCATGATAAGATGTGCTTCTCTCTGTGTGTCTGTATTACATAATTAGACTGAATTTCTTTATATCAATTCAAACTGGCTTTTTCAGGTCCTAAACCAAATTGTCTGTGAACTTCCAGCTGAACATCCTCTTTCTGAGAGCAGTCCATTGCGAGAACTTCTTGGCCACACCCCACCTCAGGTGCATTTTTGTTTCTTTTGAATGAATTTTTTTTTTCAGATTTTTCTTCTTTCCTCTTGACATTTGTACCTGTAGAATCAATACATGCTGCATGAATCTCTTCTCACATTTTAAATATGATTTTTTCTTGATATTCTGCACTAAACGTTTAGCTAATTATATTGTTTTTCTTTCATTTCTGATCTGTGGTCTAAAAGATTAAGATTGAACTGAAAAGGTCTAGGTAAAAAAATAAGTTCTAGTAGGAGGTGTAACAGCAATGTCCTCGTTCTTTTGATCCTGATCAATAGAATGAGACACTTTCGTCTGGTTTAGTTGTTAATGTTGTGTGTATGTTAACCTTTTAAGTTGTTGATCCCTTGGTGTCGCTTCCAAGTTGCAACTCTTTGACAACCATGTTTACTTTTGTCAATTGTTTCTGTCGATCTTAGTTGCCATGTTAAGACTTCTTGAAAGCTGAATTAGAATGCTTTGAATCTGATTCTCATTCAAATGCCTGCAAACTATGCATGCTTCTTTTTGACTCTTTGTTTCCTGTCCGAGTATTCACAGGTTCGTCTTTGCGACTTCGTTCATTCAACCGCAATAATCTATTGTTGAATGCTTATGCTTAAAAAACTGAATATGTACCAAGCTTGATGTTATGCCTGGAAGTCAAACTTGTCTTTAATTTCCAAAAAAAGATTTGGCTAGTAGCTCTGAATAAATCCTAGTCATCCTGCAGGTTGTTGCGGGTGGATTACTGGGAATTGTAACAGCAACAATGATCCATTTGATCTTTGGCCCTGGTAAGCAAGCATGATGCTCGAGTAGGTATGATTGGGCAATACTTGCAGCGGTCCATATGTGAAGACTGCAACTACAAACCTTTTTGAATCTGAAATGCTGAAGATGTTGTATGTAAAACAATATGCACATACCCGTACTAGATGCCTCCCTTTCCATTGAAAGGGTATATAAAGATCCATTTGTTGACATGCGATCCACGATTTGTTCGCATAGTAAATATGGAGAGTTTCTACCAGGAACTGGTAGTATCTTCTCCAATTACCAACTTGCTTAGTACAATACTTCTTGCAGCTATCAGAAGTTAGTTGCTAGAGAGCCAAAGTTCGTCTTTTGGAGATGTCAAGTGCAACAAGATGAGTACTTGTTTATCCAGTTAATTGTTTTTGACATTTTGTCCTATAACTAAGAAATAATAGGAATTTGCAATAGAGAACTTATGTAGCATAGATTCTGGGGTGCAATTATTGCTTCTGAACGGATACATTCTAGGGTAATGCGAGAAGAAATTGCTTGAAAATATAAACTCTCATAATACTAAGACGAGTAAACACTTTATGGTTTTAACAAGAGCCTGTATTCCACGTGTGGCCAACAACAGAAAACTATCATGACCTCTAAAATCAATAAAAGCTGCTTCTTTAAGCACCAAATATGGAGAGTACAATAAAAGAGCCCATGAAATTTTCGGGAATCAAGCTTTGGCGTTGTACATGCATAGTAATGAAATCATAGGCATGCTATGAGAAAATGCTGTGTTCTGCTATAATTTTGTGGAAGCAGCTCTATCCTCCTGTGATGAAACTCCACTGACAAGGAAGAAAAACTCGATTATGTTTGCCTGGGTTGAGCTCCAAATATAGTGGAAAATATTCTTTCCATCTCCAAAACAGGATCTGCTGTGATTCCGAATTTTGTACGCCATGCAATGTGCTCGTCGGGCCTCGCTAAAATGGCTCCTCTGTCTGTCATTTGACAAACATCCCACCATGAAACAGAAGTTGGTGGATTTCTTAATTCCGCAACTTCAATGAAATTAGTCCAAGGTTCTAATGCAGCCTCAGTTTTTCCAGATCCATCTGTAGTTTTTTCAGGCCATATCACACACACCCTTATGGAGATTTTATGTTCCTTTGCCACCTTGAATGCAGCTTGAGCAAGATTGTAAGATTCTTCTAATGGTGCTATTATGAGAACAAACTCAACTTTATCCAGGGACACAAGATCCAAGGTTGAAAATGTTTCCTGCATATTAAATTTACATAAGGAATGTAGAAACAAAAACTCCCACCCTAGTTCCAAAAGAAGAAACAAAGAGAGAGAGGATTTGATTTTCTCGACCCATTACAGAACAGATAGGCACTTATGCATTCAGTAGCCAGCTCCAACCCTCTCAAGGTGACCATTCTCCAACCCTCAGTGGCCCCAGATAAAGATGCAGAGACTTATAAGCATGCTCAAATGTATGCAATAAGAAGAAAAGATCAAACTAGTACCTTGCTTGAGAGGTCTGACAAGAGTCTCATACTCATATGTGGCAACCTTGATCCAGGATCTGCTGAGGGGATATAGTCCCTCCTGCCTCCAGTAGGTGCTTCTTGAGCATTTGATGAACTATCATCATCAGACACTAGTGCTCCTTTGAGATACCTAATAAATAAACCTTTAACTTGTCAGTGCAAAGTATATTCCTTGGGTACGAAAAAAACCTTCAATTACCAACAAACATATAAACAACTAGCCAATGACAAGTTTCCCAAATTTTCACCAATAATCTCCCAAAGAACATGTATTACTTGAAACCACTTGAACAAGAGCATTCTCTGGAGTAGATCAGGACTCAGAATGCTCTAGATGACTCCAAGAAGTAATACTCCATATGGATTCCCCTTGTTTCCCAAAACTGTTTTTGTTTGTGGAGTCTATAGTAACAAACTCCAAAAACACATAAGCTCAAATATACCTAAAAACAACACAAAAAAATTTTAAAAAAAAAACTCCCACCTTTCTTCTTCCACATGCTACCAACCACCACTGTGGTGGGGAGGAGGGGAGGAGCGAGGAGGGGGAAGGGTGGTGGCAGAGGGCAATGGGTGGGGGTGGTGAGTGGTTGTGGAAAAATTTTTTTAATAAATTTTCAAAAAAATCCCAATAAAATTTTAAATTAAAAAAAAACCTCAAACACATCTACAATGTCAAGTTTGTTACATGCATTGCAACAGTAAAAATTTTTTAAAACACCCTCCAAAAACACTTAATCCATACAAAGCCTAAACTATACTGTAAACCTCATGGGTGAAGTGCAAGCCCAGCTACAACATAATTCTACCTGAAACCTAGATCCTCAGCTGGAAACTGGAGTTGAAGACTCTTTCCTTCGTCAAATATCTGTCTCAGTTTGGCAAGCCTCAACAATCCCAAAGGATTCTTCTCATTCAACAGAGAGTCTGAAACCTGTGCACGGCCTATGCTGAAGATTCCCTCCAAAACTGACCTCTGTAGTCCTTCCGGTAAAATGGTACCAATCCAATCATTAACTGCACGGTGTACTGCAAACCCAGAACAAAGAAATTAGACAAATGATAATGCATCAAAGATTTGTGTACAAGTCCACATAAGAGCCCATATTCTTAACTGTGTTAGTTCACCTGCATTAGCAATAGTTGGATCAAGACCAAGTGCAGAAGGAACATTCATAGCTGCTTTGAAGTTTTGAACACTAAGCTCCGTATTAAATCTGGCAATCTACACATGACAATAAATATTGTGCACATGTTGGAAATACCAGAGATAAAAAACTGTAGGCGCATTGATTTAAGCAAATAAGTCATAACCAAATCACCTGCCTACGTTCTATCTCATAAGTGGAAAGAAATGAAAGCGGTGTGATGCCATTGAGAACAGAAGCTATTTTCCAAGCAAGGTTGTGAGCATCCTGAACTCCAGTATTCATCCCTGAAAAGTAAGAACAGGGTCTGAAGGTGATCTCTTTCTTGTTCTTACAGAACAATACAAAGAGCTAAGATAACATGTCGACAACCATAAACTTCTATAAATTGGAAAAGGAAAAACAAGATATAGTTTTGAACCACATACCAAAACCACCAGCTGGTGGAAAGCGATGAGCAGCATCACCAGCAAGAATTATCCTGTTGTTACAGGAAAGATATCTTTCAGCAACTTCAGCATGCATCACCCATGGTTTTACATCCCTAACCTGTATGTCTGCAAGCTCCCGGCCAACCAATCTGAAGATTAATCTTTCACACATCTACAACAATTATTGTACAATAAGAACTACTTTAAGCATAATTATTCCATATTTCAGCAAGAAACTCCAATATATGCAGTAGATTGAGTCTGTCAAATCCTAAAAATCACAACCTAAATTAATAGCCTGGTAAATCACAGCTCAACCACACACCCCCACTGCCCCCAGCCCAGAGTGTGCCACAGTGGAATCCACTACAGAATAAAGATGCATTTAATAAAGATAATACCTCAGAGCTGAAGTCCTTGAGCTTCTGTTGGGGGGGATAAAATGGTACCTGCAAGACATTAAGATTACATATGTTGGACACCACAAAAGTTTCCAAGAGCAAAGAATACAACAGAGGAATTAAACGCTATACATATATATATAAATATATATGTATATATCAGAACTTTCTCCACCTGCAAAACAAACTCTCCTTGCTTCAAATCATGAGCAACAAGAACACCAATGGCTTCCGAATTGAAGATAAAGAATAGCATTCCTGGTTTCTCATTCATCAAATACTTTCCAAGGTCTTCGCTTATAAAGTGAATACTAACTAGCTTTTGCAAGTCCCTTTCTCCTTTCATGTCTATTCCTACAAGCTGTCTGACTGTACTTCCTGCACCATCTGTACCCACAATGAAATTGCAACGGATATCTTTCTGCATATGCCTCCCTTCACTAAGAAAAGACGCTGTGACAGTAACACCATGATGAGCAGTACTAACTGATACGCATTCATGCCCCATCAATATCTCCTTCTCCCTAATCAGGATTTCCTCAAGCCTATCAGATCCGTGGCTGTCAACAATGTGAAAACCAAGATTTACAAGCTTCTCAAGTAGTAATCTGTGAAGTTTGTACTGTGAAAAATGAGCTACAGATACAGGGCTCACAGTTCGATCAAAATCTGCAGATACCAAAAGGCAAAATTTAGGCAAAACAAGTAAAAGCTACAAGATACGCACATCAGGAAGTGCAGGACCCCAGTTGCATGCGATTTACATTCTCTTTTAGGGACAATAACGTGCCAAGAATTGAAACATTAGACATAAAAGCGGCAAGAAAGCAAATGTTTTCCATCACTTGTAAAAGCTAAATAAAGATTATCAAATAAAAAAATCTGCCAAACTGTGATTTCAGTTGCCACATTGGCCTTAGATCAAAGAAAAATCCTACCATGAGGTTGCATATGGTCTACTGTTCCAAGTATCGGACCAGTGAGTGAAGTACAATAGATAAATTTCCTCCAATAATCCACAGGTGGTTGTGAACTCGAAATCTCATCCGCCAAACCATCTAATTTCCTAAACACCTATCATACAACATTTGCGCGTCAGTAAACAACCATTCACCATAATTAAACACACACACACACACACACACACACACTTAGTGAAAAAGAGAAAAAGAGGGGAAAAAAACAACTTTCCGTTGGCATCACCTCCATAGAGCGATTGTTAATGAAATGAGCCTGTGGGTGCCTCGAAAAAGTCGTACTTTTCTCCAGTATTGCACATTTGACCCCTAAACAAACACCATAAAACCTTGCACTAATTCAGCAATTTTTTCAAATATTAGCCTGAAAAACCATCAGGTTTGTTAAAAAGGAAAATAATGAACTTTGTTCAGAAAACTGTGAATTATACCAAGCTTGGTAAGAAGCATAGAGAGGACAAGTCCAACTGGGCCTGCACCTACGATCAAGACAGGCAAGATAGAGTCGTCTTCAGTGATTTTTTGCTTCAATTCTGAAAAGGCTCTTTTCCGTGAGCGATTGAAGTAGGAAGAGTGGATACTTAAACTAGTTTTGGATAGTCTAGAAAACCTCTTACTCAGGCCTAAAATCCCCATTGCTATAAGAAACCGCTGCAGACTATGGCGGCAAAAGGCGAGCCCTCACCGCTGTGCCGGTGGCGCTGGGAGGAGGCCAGGCCAACTACTACTGGCCAAGGGAAAGGACACTGAGGGTTATTATGTCAATAGTTTTAACGACGTCGCTTCACTTGCGGTTGCGAATACGGGGTTCCCATCCGATTTCTCTGGATTTGCTTTGATTGAAACTTAGCTAAACCTTTTTTTTTTTTTGGAATACTAATAAGTACTCACTGTAACTGTAAGGCAAAAAGGTAATTACTAAAAAGTTTTGTTTAAAAATAAATTTGTGATGCAATCAGAAAAGCTTGTTTGGCAGAAAATGACACTCCTCCTCGGTAAAATACAAAAAAATCTGTTGCAACGAGAAATCTTTTCAGAAATTTATTTTTTGAATTTAAATTTAAATCATTTGATCATGAATCCACGACAATACAGTACAGTATATAGAAAATTAACACAATAATCTATCTATCAGCTGCTTACAAAGGAACACAGGTCCCAAAAAGTTCAGATGACTATTGACATTGCATAGTTTGTCCGGATTCCTTTCGGTTCGAAGGCAATGGAGACTGAAATTTATGTATGGTTGTTGGTCGAGTTCTACATCTACACCAGTAAGTAGAAGCGTCTCAATCTCCCTCGCAGGTCTGATGACTAGCGCTGCTGCTACTGCCGCTGGTGGCGCGTGCACGAAGAATTGAGCTTTGATGATAATTAAGCTTTGATTTTCATCTGCCAAATCAGAAAAAAAAAAAAAAATGTTCGTACGCATCGGATCATCCACGTAATACATCAGATCAGATCGTGACTTCCCAAATACTCCTCCACCTTCTCCTCCTGATACCGATCGGAAACAAACAAACTCCTAACTCTTTTTTTTTCTGATACGATAAATTATCCTGAATTAGGGGAGGAGGAGAGGGGAAGGACCTGTTTCAGATCTAAGGATAATTCGAAGAGACTGATGAAACTCGCCAGAATTTTACTCCTGCTGCACCTCGCCAGAATTTTCACTCTTTTACGTTACAAGTCCTTTCGTTACATTATTACATAGTAGAATGGTTTTTCACATGAATAAATCAAGAAATTAATGCGATCCTTGGATGCATATGCCAGAGCACATGGCTTCCAAGTCTTTGCAGACAAATCCATAACGCAAACATATTAATAATGAATGAATTCAACAGCACACCACCTCACTCATAATAATAATAGACTGAGGAGGCCCTCTTGAAAGCTATTCCTTCCTGAGTTAATTACTACCTCTGCTGAAACTATGGTCCACCTTTATAGTAGTACACCATAGTACCCCGTGTAATGCCAAAAAAAAAAAAAAAAATCCATCCTATCTGCCAATCGGACTAACTAAGCTTGTCAAATTCTTGAAAATAGACAACGAATTTTGTTGCCCATCCTAGCCATGTGGAATAGCTCAGGCATTTGCCAGCATTCTTACAATTTGCCAAGCTGACACTGAAACTTCCACATGCTCGCCAGGCTTCTTGGGAAAAAAAGTTTTTTTTTTCCCTCAGCCATTCTATAACCGTTACAAAAGGGTGGTGATCCAATTCGAGGCAAAAGTGTCGATCGAGCTGGCAAGTAGTATTTCCTTTTTCTGAGTTCCTAGTACGGAAGAGATAAATCCAAAACAATTAAACAAAGCACCAGTGCATTTGCAAAGTAAGCGGTCCTCTTCTTTTTGAATCACAAGGCTACTTAGAACCTTTTAATCTTACAGAAAAATAGAGGAGTGAGTAAATGGGGTCTGAGCTAGAAGAAAGTTAGAAATGTACTAGTAGTACTTATGTTATGTGGGTGTCACAGGACTATTCCTTAGATTCTGTAGTGACTAGTGAGTGAAGCTGTGAAGATGAGTTTGCCCCACTCTGCATTCAGGCAATAAAGTGCACCTGTTTCAATGTAATGTGCAGCAATAATATTTTACTGGTAAAAATGTTTTATAAATGTTGCTGCCCATATGCCGTTGTTTTTAACAATGCAGAGCAGATGCAGTGCAACTATTTTTAACTGGTACCATATCTATTGAGTGGATCTGAACTTCCCTTCGTCCCAGCCTCAGCTCTGCGAATCTCAAAAATCCATACTTTCAAGGTCTTATTCTCTGCAGTCTGCACATTTCCTCTGTGTATTCAGATAAGTCGAGCAGTGATCAATCTAAGTATCTTGGGCCAATTAATAGCGACAGCGCCTTCTTCCCATTTCTTGTGTTGGCACTTTTTCCAGCGACTAAGTTTGTCTTTTCATCGAGATTTCTTTGGTTTGTGCCCTTTTGGCTGATCAATTTTGCCTCTTTTTCATCTTCTTACCAATATGTCTTGTTCAGCGACTGAGGAGTCAAAGGCTTGATTGAAGGATTAGTTGCATTTTTGTTCGTGGGAAAGATGGCGCCTTTCTGCTGATTGGAAAGTTCAGCTAGAAAGGTTTTTGGCGAAGAATAAGAGGAGAAGTCAATGGAGGATAAAGGCTGTTTGAACTATGGAAGAGCACAAGAGCTATCTGGGAGCAGTGCTACTATGAGTTTTGAGTTTCACAAAGGGAATGGTGCAAATCGCTCTTCACATCATCGAATGGCCTTTGGAAAGCCGACTCCTCTGAAATGGGACGATGCACAAAAGTGGCTGGGTAATCATCTTTCAAGAGGTGGAGAGAAAAACCAGTCAAAGTCCACCCCCCGCAATTCAAATGCTGACGACAGAAGATTGATAGCTCCAGTACCAAAGGAGGAGTACCTGAGCAGCGAGGATCAAGGAGGAAATGCTTTTCCTGGTATTCCAAGTAGTGTCCACTATGAAGTAGAAACAAAGGATATGGACTGTGATGAATCGGTCTGGAGAATCAATAAGCCATCAACTGGATCCGTTTCGGTTGTTCGATCAATATGTGTGAGGGATATGGGAACAGAAATGACTCCTGCCGCAAGCCAAGAGCCTTCAAGAACAGCCACCCCTCTTAAATCCACAACTCCAGCAGCTAGAAGCCCAATAACCTCAGGATCCTCAACCCCATTAAGGTATCAAAATGGATTCCAGATTTCTGAAGATGGTCAGACTCCGACAGGTATAACATCTGCTGAGCACAGGGGAGAGGCTGGCAGGGGCAATGGATCATCAACAAGCCGATTTGCGCGAGAAGGAGAAGAACTGAATGCTGCAAATATGAGTGAAAGCCGTTCAGATCAACCTCAAAGGCTAAATCCTCTGGAAACCAGGGCAATGGCTTGGGATGAGGCTGAACGAGCCAAGTACTTGGCAAGGTAATATAAATAAGCAGCTTCGTAAAAGTTTTGCACCACAGAACTGCTATTTTCCTCGATGAGATGGCATGGCATAGCTTTGATAGTATGGTTGTGCAGGTATAAGCGCGAAGAGGTGAAGATACAAGCTTGGGAAAATCACGAGAAAAGGAGAGCTGAGATGGAAATGCGAAGGATGGAGGTACAACCCCCTCGCCTACACTATATTGCCATGTCCTTGTTTGTTACTAGTTCGAAACTCTTAAAACAGATTTGTCTGTCTTAGACAAATACGGTAGTTCGTTATATTCAATTATCAAATTTGTAGGTGAAGGCTGAACGCCTGAAGTCTCGAGCACAAGAGAAGTACACGAACAAACTCGCCGCAACTAAAAGAATAGCAGAGGAAAAGCGAGCAAATGCAGAATCCAAGCTAAATGAGAAAGCTGTGAAGACTTCCGAAAAGGCAGATTACATAAGGAGAACTGGCCATATGCCTTCTTCCTTCTCTTTCAAGCTGCCTTCCTTCTGCTGGTAGAAAGTTGCAAAATGCAGCCCGCTCAACGTTGCGTTTCTTAAGGCCTTGCTACGTTCGTCCATTTTAAGCCATAGATTTGATTACCAACTCTCTTGGCCGCTGAACAATGTTACCTTCTGCTATTTGTGGCCATCAATATGATCCTACTGCGCCTGAAATTTGTGTGGCAAGTTAATGACCTTGTTCCAGCAAGGGTTCAAGACTAATGGTTTCATTTAGCGAAAAGACTTCCATTTGTTCACATAATTAGCTGTTTCTTTGTATCGAAGCTCATTTTGCGCCTGAGATAATTGATATTTCATTGATCAGATTTTTGCTACAGGAATTTTGCTACAGGAAGTACTGTGTGATTTTTGTTTGGCAGTGCATAATTCCAAACTAACTGGATGCTTTTTTTTTTTTTTTTTCTTTACGGAGAGGGTGTCCGGATCAATCCTTACGGGACCCGACTAATCCCACTCCGGTCCGGGAGGAGAGGCCCCATCCTCCCGAACACGTTAACTACGGGACTCGAACCCTTGCGGGTGGCTGGACAACGGCCTTAAGGAAGCAACCGTGACCAAACGAACTGCCCTGTGAGGGGATAAGAGGAAAAAATTACTTCGGCGTATAAGTTCTTTCAAATTTATGCTTTGCAATAATTTGCAATTTGCATACAATATACAGCGTCTCGTTTCACATGCTCACCAAACTGGACACCAATTGAGCGAGTAAATGAATTCATATCACTGATACAACAGCCAAAACAATCAGCCCCGTTTCGAATTGGTACCGGATCGATGTGAAATTTTTAAGTGCATATGCTGTTTTATTAGCACCCCTTGCCTCACTTTAGGTTTGTGCAAACTCAGGAATAACGAGACTGGTGACGCTTGGTTCGTGTTGTTCCGCTAGAATAAAAATACAAATGTTAAATAACAAAATCGACAATAGTTCTAATAATAATAATAATTACAACAATAATAAAATTAGCTATAATAAAATAGTTAAAATAATAATATAATAATTGAACGGTGAAATTTAATAAAAGTAAAGCTTGGCAATTGAACCACTTCTATTCGATTTATTATTATTATTATTATTTCTCTCTTCTAACAACTTTTATCTTATTTGATAAATTAAAATTATTTTTTTACTGTGGTTCTCTTTCTAATCTAACAACTTTTATTTTCTTTAATAAATATTGATATTATCTTTTTATTCATATGGAATAACTTTACGTAGCGAATTTTTATTTTTATAACGGTAAATTCATTGATGTTGTTGGAGACTGAATACATATTCATGATAAAATGATTTGTTTCATCTTTTGTATTTAGCTTAATAAAAATATGTAATCCTAGTTTTATAATCATTGTAAAAATTAATAATTATCTCGAAATATATCCATCAATCTCTTGGCATAGCTTGAAGTATTTAATGAAAATCATTGCATTCTAGTACATATATGTATAAAAGTTCTTAAAAATTGGTAATTGGGCACTTAGCAAATGATAATTTTTAAAAATAAAAATTAACATTAGTTTTATACTTTTTCATAAATTATTCACACTTGCCTAGTTTCGCAATTAATCAAGAAAACTAGTGCATTCGAACGGGTTACAATACTTAGAGGCACTGTCAGCTAAAAGTTTCAATGTCAATACCAATTCCATCCGTGGGTTCGTGCTGGGCCTAAGTCGGGCTCAGCCCAATCCGTACTTGATGAGCTATCTTTAGAGGGCCCATGCTCCGCGCCTTTACTGGGGCAGAAAAATGAAGTAAGAAAAAACTTGAGGGGCTTATTGAGCAATTTTATATTCATTAAAAAAATAGCAAGAATTTCGAAGGCATCCACATAATTTTAACGCTCACGATAGCACTAAAATAGACCTCTTTCGTCCGCGGTAGCGAAGTCGGCTTCGCCTTCGTTTCTGCGAACCTGCGATAGAACCATTATTACGCTTTCTCTCTCTAGAAGCATCCTCGCTCGTAGCCGCTGCTATTCATTAATCTCTTTCTGTCTCTCTCCAATCCGATTGAATCCATCGGACTCGGTCCGTTGGTAAGCCCTTCGAATCTCAATAATTGTCGGGAGGGAGTATATCATATTAATTTCTAGGGTTTTCTATCGTCAGCTATTGTTCGATTTCGGGCTTTTATTTCTAGTTTATTAACAAAGATTGAAGAAAAAAATAATTGTTGGCCCTACGCGATTTACTTTCGGCTTTGAACTTGTTTCTCGTATCAAGATCTGTACTTTGATTGTCTCGCTTTATAAATTGAAATCTTGTGGGGTAGAATTAGGGGAAATTGGGGAAGGAGGTCTTCTGTTTGTTTTGATGAAATTTGGTGAAATTAGGCTTAGGGTTTTCTCTTAAACCCCGGTTTAGGCGAGTATAGCAGGTGAATTGAATTTTTTTGGCTGTATCAGAGGGATAAACTCGGTTATAGATTTATGGCGGCTGGAAGACATGGGGGTTATAGGGACAATGAGTTCAGGGATCGTGAGTCTGACTTTGAGGTAGCCAGGAGGGAAATTGGCTATTCAAAAGGTGATTATGATCGGATGAGGAATGGTGTGGGGGACTATGATAGGGGGAATAAGGCTCAAAATCATGATGGTCGAGATAGGGGTAGAGTTAGGCAGAAGGATATTAAGGAGAGGGAGTTCACTAATGGTGGGTATCGGTCTGCCTCAAGTAGGAGTGACTCGGGCAGTAGTGGTGGTGGTAGTGCTGGTCTGGGGCCGAAGAGGTATGGTTTTTGCATGAGGCCCGTGGACAGAGAACCTGGGGAATTGTCCAGTGAAAGTGGGTCTGATGGGGCTATTGATTCTGAAGCGCATAAGAAGGATGGTGGTGAGCTTAAGAAGTCAGAAAATGGAAAGAGAAAATTTTCACCCATCATTTGGGATAGAGATGGAGATGGCAAAAGAGTGACTAGAATTGTTAAGGCGAGGACTTCCCCAGCAGCAGCTGCTCTTCCCCCTCAGCTACCCACGCCTACTTCTGGCACCATGTCACCTGATCGCAACCCTGATAGTCGTCAACATATTTCACCTAGTAAAGATATAGTGGTTCAGAATTCTGGGCTGTCACCGAAAAAGGTTACTGAGGACCTCACTTCTCAAATAAATGTTGCTTCTGACTCTCCAATTGGTTTATCTCCTTCAGCTCCTGAGGCAGAGGAAGAGGAAGCTCACTGGGGTAAAAATGAGGGAGCAGTGACAGTAGATGATGATTACTATATGCCAGCACGTAATATAAAATCCTCTCGCTGGGCAAATGAGGCTGAATCATCAGCTGATGAAGGTGAAATTTCTGATGATGAGGAGATGGTTAAATTGAAGAAGAAGAAGAAATCTGTTAATGAATCTACTGACACAAGGGGACAGAGGAAATCGGTAACTCCAGAGCTCGGGGAACTGAGGAGAGAAGGTTCAGTGGGAAATAGGGTCAGGTCTTCTGATGAACGCGTTAGATCCTTTAGTGGAGATAGTGATCCTGATGAATTGGACAGGAATGAGTACATGGAGGTTGATGAAGATCGCAGTTATGGTGGAACCAGTGGTAGCAATGCGGATACTGGTTCTGATGATGAACACAACTCCCACGGGACACCAGAACATGCAGTTCCTCCACCAAGGGCCGTGAACATGCTTCAGGGTTGTAGAAGTGTTGATGAGTTCGAGAGGCTGAACAAAATAGATGAAGGCACATATGGTGTAGTTTATAGAGCTAGGGATAAGAGAACAGGAGAAATAGTTGCTCTGAAGAAGGTCAAGATGGATAAAGAAAGAGAAGGGTTCCCTTTGACCTCTTTGAGGGAAATAAACATTCTTCTTTCTTTTCATCACCCATCAATTGTAGATGTCAAGGAAGTAGTTGTAGGGAGCAGTTTGGACAGCATTTTTATGGTAATGGAGTACATGGAACATGATCTGAAGGGGTTAATGGAGACAATGAAACAACCGTTTAGCCAGAGTGAAGTTAAGTGCCTCATGCTTCAGCTTTTTGAGGGTGTTAAGTATCTTCACGATAACTGGGTTTTGCACAGAGATTTAAAGACATCAAATATACTTTTAAATAATTGTGGTGAGTTGAAGATCTGTGACTTTGGACTAGCACGTCAATATGGAAGCCCTTTGAAACCATATACTCACTTGGTGGTTACTTTGTGGTACAGGTGAGCGTAGTTTTATGCACTATTGTCTTTTTTAGTTGAGATAATTAAAATCTTTTACCTGGTTCATTTTTGATGTATTATTTGGTTTTTGTCAAAATAGTATTGAGTGCTTTAATTGCAAATCCTATGCTAGTGCCTTTCTATTACAAGAATCTAGAGTGATCACCTGGGCCTTACTGCGATTTTTTTTTTACTGTTAATGTTGTTTCTTCTATGAATGTAAAGTCATGTCAATTTAGTTTGGTTACCCAGAATGCGCCAATGATAATCTCTACTTTAGAAACTGCATTTTGTTATTTTTTCTGGTGCAACAGAATTGTATGTTGTAGCATCTTGCTCTTAGGTGGCCAAATTTTCGTTTTCTATGTGGCACTATCTTGATATTAGCCCAAGAAAAATTTGAAACTTGAGCAGCTAGCTGGAATATGTGTCTCTTTCCTTTTCATTTGTAGGTCTTGTGATTGTGTATTTTATTTTTGCTAATTTTGGAAAATAAAAATAAACGACCGAATGACAGAATATTTAATGTTTTTCAAGGGCGCCTGAACTGCTTCTAGGAGCTAAGCAGTACTCTACAGCGATTGACATGTGGTCCTTGGGTTGTATTATGGCCGAGCTGTTAGCGAAGCAGCCACTATTCAATGGGAAAACAGAAGTTGATCAACTTGACAAGGTTAACATTTTGACAACTTTCATCTGTAATGTTACTGTAGATTTTTGTATGGATTCCAAGCTAATTTTCTTTTCTGTGGCCTTAAAGATCATTGTCATTTTGTTTTGCAGATATTCAAAATCCTTGGTACGCCTAATGACACAATCTGGCCTGGGTTTTCAAAGCTTCCTGGGGTCAGGGTTAACTTTGTCAAGCATCAGTAAGTATCTATTTCGTGTTTATCATAGTTCGATGCAAATCGACTGTATAATTTATGGTTTTCATGTTTCCTACTGTTTTCCCAGGCTTCCAGCTTTGGGTGATTCTGGTCTGGCTTTCTGGCCTTCGTTGGTGACAGTTTCAGTTCCCAAATAAATGTCATGTTTCTATTAACTGGTGCTTTGTTCATTTCAGGTATAATCAACTGCGTTCCAAATTTCCAGCTACATCCTTCAGAGGATCGCCGGTACTCTCTGATGCTGGATTTG